AACTTCGCAGCCGCCTCGGCATCAGTTCCATAAGTAATATGTGCCATCCCATTTGCCCCGTTCAAGCAGACCGGGTCACCGAGGTGACAGAACTCCTTAACTTTACCGCTGGCAAGTTTACCGACAGACTGAGTTTTCAATGGGTCACCAAAAAGAACAGCAGCGGCAATCTGCCCGGCAGCGAGGCTGTTGGCAGCATTGTGGACGACCATCGCACCCTGGGAGTATCCACCCAGCAAGATCTTGGTCTTGGGGCACTGGCTGAGAGCCTGCTCGACGAGCTTGGCCATCACGGGGCCGCCGCTTGCACCCATCAGTGCGTTGCCCTGTTCGGATGAAACGTTAGTTCATAGGCCGGTTTGTTGATCTCGACAGCAGTACGCATAGCTAAGTCAAGTGCAAAGAGCGAATGGGGTTCTCATACCGCTGCATCCGCTGGGTATGTCACACCCTGCACGGTGACCTTGTCGCCGGTCAGGGACTTCAACTGCGTGGCGACGGGGGGTCCAACTACCGAGCCCATATTACCCATCTCGGTAGTTCCGCGTGCAAAGATAAATGTGAGCTCCTTGCAGCCCTCATTATTCGTCACACCGTTCTCGGTTGAAGAGCCTAGAAACAAACGCTTAGGATTGTATTTTTAGATACTGAGGCTGTTTGATAGGGGATATTACCCAACCCGGGGATACTGAGTCCACTGCCCGACGAGCTGGCCGAGGAGCTAGAGCTGTCGGAGCCACTGCTAGACCCAGAAAGTCCTGGGGTGAGAGACTTCCACGCATCCAATCCACTGCCGGTAGCACTGCCGGAACCGAAACTGGGCAGCTGGCGGTTTTCGATGGTGCGAGTAGGAGCCGCAATGGCAATACTAGCCAAGGCGAGGATGATAGTAGACTTCATACTGAAACGAGGGAATTGATATAAAGAATGGATCTGAGAGACCAGCTCTGCAGTGTAGAACGAGTGAATGGATGTGAGACTAGAGAGGAATGATTCTGTGAGTCTATATATGGGAAGATCTCAGCTTTTGTATTCGGCACTTCTCGAGTAGAGTGGATAGCAGGGCATACTCGGGCAACCTCGGTGGGATCGCATGGTTCGAGGATGTCTTAAACCAAATTTTGGTGAAACGGGGACCCTGTTTCATCCTACCAACCCTGTAGAATGTACATTTTTTTTTAGTAACGAGTACTCCATATAGTTGGAGAACGTAGCCCTACAAGTGATCTTCAATGGATCACGGGTTTTCCCGCCTGGGTGTACTGTACTCCAATCCCAACGTGCGGATCATCAGATAAACCCCTAATTATCTTTTGAAATATAGCGTATAGCTCTTTATGCAAGCATCTCTGGGACATCTTCAGCCGAGTGATCTATAAACATTATGTGCGGAGATGTATCAGATCTAACAAAAGTCCTGAGATCCTGAAACCCACAGGATTTTAGGGTTTGAGACAACAGAGTTCTCAAAAATGAGAAGCACCAAATCGGGAACTTCGGCCGACAGTAAAGGTACCTAAAAAAATTGTCACAATGCGTCAAGAATACTACTCTCGGAAATCATATCAGGGGGTTCCTTTGGACCGAGTTCCACTGGCAGTTCAACAACCCCCTGATATGTACTCCGCAATGTACATTGCGCGCAGTTTGATCAAGTTGATTCCGAGAAGAGGATAATGTTATAGAATTTCCTAGACAAATGGCAATATAACCTCGGGTATAGTACATCAGTATGGTACAAAATAGATCGTCCACAAGGACAATGTGATATACAATCGCCAGTGGCGCCGGTCAACATCTACTTTCTCGATTGCAGGTGATATGTCTTCAATGCCTCCTCGGTCATGGGACTTGGGGCCCCAACCATGGCATCATCGCCCCCCTTGCCAGTCTTGGGGAACGCGATCACATCACGCACGGACTCCTTGCCGAGCATGACAGCCACAAGTCTGTCAAAGCCCAGGGCAAGACCGGCGTGAGGGGGACAGCCGGAGCGGAGGGCATCTAGTAGATGGGAAAAGTCGGCCAACCGCTCAGCTGGCATTTTCAGGATATCACGGAATATGAACTCCTGTACTGCTGCGTCGTGGATACGGCGACTACCACCGCCTAGTTCTACACCATTCACGACGATGTCGTAGTGGTCAGCCACCGCCTGGGTGGGATCGGTGAGGAGGAGGTCGACGTCGGCGGGGGTCTTGGGTGCGGTGAAGGGGTGATGTGTGGAGGAGAAGCCTGCTGCACCGCCCTGGCCGGGCTCCGAGTCTGAGGAGGGGGAGAAGAGGGGGAAGTCGACAACCCAGAGGAAGTCAAATCCGGTCGGGGCGGGCTTGAAGCCTGTTGAGACCGAGGCTGCGTGCAGCGCACGGCGTAAATCGCCAACGGGGGTTGAGCCTCCAGAGAAAGGAGCACGGGGGCGTGCCTGCAGGATGATCAGATCACCGTGGTCGGGATCTAGTAGTTCCTCGACTTGCTCGGCGGCTTCAAAGCCGAAGGGCTGTAGTCCGCAGAGAGGCTGCTTGCTATTGTAGATGAAGACCCCTGGGCCTCCGTCTGGGTTATTGTTGAACGGCGCGCCCGCAGGGGAGTCGAGGAACTGGGTAATGAACTTGTGGGTTTCAGCGGGATCATTATCATTCCCTTCGAGCTTGAAAGCCTCTACAATGGGATTGGTCAGGCCAGAAATCTTGCCGACTAGATCCACGGGGAGAACATGATCAAGTCGAATGATTTCCATCCCGTATCTCGTGTCCGGCTTGTCAGAGCCATATTTGGCCATGGCTTCCTGGTAGGAGACTTTGCGGAATGGGCCCTCCGGGGCAGGGTCTTTCATCAACGACGACCAAAGTCGGCGAATGACCCCTTCCACGGTGCGCATGACGTCGCTGCCTGTTGCGAAAGACATCTCCATATCAAGCTGTAAATATTCAGTTAGCATTTACCACCCATCCTCAAAAAAACAATAAAAGTTCATACCTGAGTAAACTCGGGCTGTCGATCCGCGCGCAAGTCCTCATCCCGGAAGCAACGCGCAAACTGATAATACCTTGGCAAGCCACTAGCCATGAGGATCTGCTTGTACTGCTGCGGGCTCTGCGGCAATGCATAAGCCAGCCCTTCCCTCCGTGTAGGCACAATGAACTCCCGTGCTCCTTCTGGTGTAGACTTGAATAATAGTGGGGTCTCAATCTCCACAAACGGCGGTCGAGACTGCTCCTCCAGCTCTTTCTTGCAAATATTGTGCGCGCGGGCACGGAAACGCAGGGCTTCGCGCAGGTCTGCATCGGACCGCAATTGAAGGTATCGTTGCTCAGGTGAGAACACCGTTTCAGGCGTCATAATTAGATCCTTGGGAAAGTCGTTGAGGGGGTGAATTTCTTCCAGTGCGAGCTCCCAGAGGTCTTGGGCTGGTGTGTTGTCTACCTCTGATGGCTTGGTCTTTTTCTTTTGAACTATCCCGCGCACAGCCACGGGACTGTTCACGTTCACGGTCTTTAACTGCTCGAAAGCATCGTTCTTCGCGAATGCAACAACTTGTAGGCTGTGTTGCAGGGTGGGATCGGATAGGCGCACGAAGGATAGTTTCTTGGACAGATCTGCGCGGGGTCCAAGGTACCCATGCAGTACTACTTCCGTGTTTGGCTCGGCCTGTGCAAAGAATGTTTCGAAGTCATGGGTGGCAGGAGGGAAGTCCACTGTAGGGCATCATATGTTAGTTAACGCCCTCTCAAAAATGAAATCCAAGTTTTCAGCAGAAGATATCCACATACCAGCCCGCTTGTAAGCCTCCAGAAAAGTAGGAAGCTGTTTAGGAAGCTCCTCCTGTCCCAAACAAGCCCGAGCATGGAACTGCCGCGGCGCCTGAATGGGGCTATAACATTTTCTGGGCCAAGCGGTTGATCGACCCCGCAGAAGATTCGAGATTTCTATGTAGCTGGATCTCAACCGCAAAGAGCGGAGCTGCACGGCAGCGATTGGCATATTTTAATTGTTGCGAATACAATTGTAGCCAAACCGGAAGAACGCGAGTCATCGGACAACCTGATCATTAGAACCGGCAGAAAGCCACCCCGCCCTAGAAGCGGACTAGCGCCCGCAGAAATAAAAAGCGCGGGATTTTCGCTCGTCCGTTTTTCTTTTCTTCTTCATCCTTCCAAGTTTTATACTTGTGAGTATTCCTCGTCCCAGTCCTTTCAATAGGCATTGCATTTTTTTGATCGTTTTGCTGACTGTTTCCCAGAATGATGAAAGCCTAGTGTGTTATATATGAGACAGTCTCTGCCCTCTGAGACGTGCGGCTCTCTCTCTTCGGGGAGCTTAAGGGCTGTACGAATCGAGGGTAGGGTATGTGATATATGCGTTCGGCATACCAACCTTGTTTACATGACGGACGCGATGAAGGCATCTCTGATCCCATTCACAAGACTTGAAGGTGTGACTGACCATTGGCTTTTGGCCAATGGTTTTGAGGGTTTCCCTTGAAGCTGGAAGAGATGGATGTTGGGCAAGTGTTGGCAACAACGCCTCCTATGTCTGGGGTCTTCTCTTTCGGCTCTTATATTCGCATATAGCTAGCTATATTTTGGTTTTAGGGACTTGTTCCTACGTCTGGGCTCTTCTCGGCAATAGGATTATAGTAGAATCAATTGTCTCAAGAGGCCTAGTCACCTCGGTCACGGTTGATTCTCTATAAACTCACTGACGAGAAGACAGTAGACATTTTAGCAAATATCATGGACTTTACCAAACTCTTCATTGCAGTAATCATAACTTCCCCACATGTATTTCTATCATAATTAGTAGGACGGCAGCTACTGCCCCGACTCGTATATTATCTTTGCATTAGTTCTCAACATGTAGTTTAAATTCCAAATCGCATCACTGCAGTATCTTGATATCCTCTTTTTTTTACCCAAACTCAGGTAATTTATACCATAACAAAACCCTAGATATGTATAGTCCCTGCTCCCTATAGTTATATCGTCTCTCTGAACACTTTTTCATGCAAAGATCATTTCCTCCAACACTTCCTTCTCTCCACTATTCTCAACAAGATTCTTGAAAACACCACCCTCAATCCCCATAAGATCCTTTGGCGTGCCAAACTCAGCCGCCTTGCCAGCATCCATAACCAGAATGCGATCGAAGTCAGCAATTGTGCTAAGCCGGTGCGCAATAACCAGCAGTGTGGTAGCATTGCGGCCGAATTCCGCACGGATAGACTGCTGAATTAACGCGTCGGTCTCCATGTCGACAGCCGAGGTTGCCTCGTCTAGAACCATAATTTTGGGTCGCGCGACGATGGCACGGGCGAGACAGAGAAGCTGGCGCTGACCTTGGGAGAGGTTGAGGCCGCCCTCGGAGATGGTCGCAGAGAGAGAGGTAAAAACATTTGCGTTAGTCTTCTGGGCCTTCGCTGGTGTCGATGTGCCTGTTTCGCTGGGCTGGCGGGGAGGCGTGGCAGTCCGCGATGTGAGGGTGAGCTCATCATCATCAGCCTGGGAGATGAGGTGCACGCGTGCTAGCGCATCGTAGAGCTCTGTATCGCTGTATTCTTCGAACGGGTCAAGATTCGATCGCACCGTGCCAGAGAATAGCACCGGGTCTTGCGGGATGATTGCAAGTCTGCTGCGGAGGTCATGCAGTTTGATCGTGGAGACATCAATTCCGTCGATGAAGATCTGGCCCGAGCGTGCCTCTAAGAATCGGAAGAGTGCAAGCGTCAAAGAGGACTTGCCTGCCCCTGTGCGTCCAACGACACCTACGCGCTGGTTCTTCTCCACCGAGAAGCTGAGCCCATTCAATACCGGTGGGAGATCCGGTGCATAACCCACCACAAGATCGTGGACTTCGAGGTGGCCCTCTGTGGGCCAAGCAGCAGGTACATCTGCTCCTCCTTGGTTCTCGAGCTCAAAGTTAGAATACTCGATGACACGCTCTATGGCGTTCATATTCAATTCAATGTTAGCATATTGTCGCAGTGCCATCGTGATCGCATTGTTATACTGCAACGCAAAGCTGAGAGCGAAACCCGCAAGTGAAGCGCTGATACCCGGCAGATAGACCACCAGACCAGCAGTGACGGTTGAGAAGATAGCGCCGACGATGCTCATGCGGAACGCGAGCCAGCGGTTGAACAGCCCCAAGGTCCACCATGCTTGCGCATGGCGATTGATCTTGTTGTACATTAGTTCGACGTAAGTGTCTGGTTTGCTGAAGGCACGAATGGTGATTAGGCCAGCGAGACTAGACCCAAACTGCTCAAACACAGGGCTTTTCGCGGTGCTCTCGAGACGTTTGATCTGACGGGCACCTTCCAAATAGGATACGGCCAGCTTTAGACATACGGCCAACAGGACTAGGCCGAATAAGATCATCATCCAATCGACAAGCATCCCCGCAATCATGATTGCGAGAACATCTAGGACCTTGCCCACGAAGAATCCGACATCGTATCCGATTTTTGAATCGATTGAGTGGAAGTCGGCTGTGAAGCGATTGAGAATTCGCCCCAATGGAACAGTATCCAGCCACCGGAGTGGTGCGCGGAGAACAGCATAGATCAAGCCATTGAACAAGTTCCTCGAGGCCCGGACTGACGCCGAAAGAATGCAGTAATATCGGGCTGTGCCGATGATACAGGCAATGACCGAGATGGCAACATAGACTCCGAGGTACATGAAGAGGTCATCATGCTGTGGAACCGGTGATGTCGGTTGCATGGTGTGCTGCAATAGGATATGGTATTGCTCAGGATGGACCTTAGTATTGGAGGACGAACTGGTCCAGATATTGATCCACCAAGACTGTACATACGGATTAGTTCAATAAACCACATAGGGGTAATAATGTCTTGGAATTTCATGCACTTACTCGTCCAATTAAGAGGGTCGAAAACGATAAATAGACTGCGAGAGTAATCAACCAGTAGACCACGGAGCCAGCTTTATTCAAGAAAGCAAGGTACACTGCTAGCCGCACAGAGCCGGTTTCTCTTTTTTCGTCTTCAACAAACTTCTTCGGGGTAGGCGTCTGTGCAGTAGCGGTTCCATTTCCGTTGGGAGCTTGACCATTTGGAGCGGTGCTCGCTTTTTGGTAGGATGTATTGGAGATCACCTTTTGGAGAGTTGTCTCCTCATCATTGGGTAATTCATGATGGTCTCTATCTGCTATAAGGCCCGCTTGTTCTGCGGCTTGTTCCTCGCGAAGGATATCCTCTAGATGATGTGATTCCTTCAGGTCATCAACGGTACCTGCATATTTGATACGACCATTCTCCAATAGCACGGAGTAGTCTGTGCGAGGAAGACACAGTGCTACATGGTGCGTGACCAAAATGCGAGTTCGGTTCTGGCCGAGTTCCCCGGTGAGAGCGTGCTCAAAGATGTGACGACCTGTGTGAGCATCGAGAGCGCTAAAGATGTCATCCATAACAAGTATGCCAGCCCTAGAGTACAATGCGCGGGCAAATGAGACACGCCAGCGCTGACCACCGCTCAGGTTGACACCATTCGCACCGATATCTGTCATATCGCCGTCCGGTAGCATCTCGAAATCTTTTTCCAGAGCGCAGGCAAAGATGACTTGTCGGTAGCGCTCTGGATCATCCGGGAGTCCGAAGAGAACGTTCGCTTTGATCGTAGCATTTTCGATCCATGGCATCTGCGCAACATAGGCAATGGCTGAGTCGATAATCCAATTTGCCTTTGTCGCAACATGATCGAATCGGTCTGTGATGGGAGGTGGAACGGGTACCATGATCGTCCCGGTGAGGACATCACATTCACCCAGGATCGATGAGAGAAGCAGACTCTTTCCAGAGCCAGTTCTGCCCGACACCACGCTTAGACTTTTCGTCGGGAATTTCAAGGTCATGTCACGCAGAACGAAACGATCCTCGGAATCTTGGATATCTTGTTCCTCCGCAGGCCATGCAACAGAGGCGTTGTCGAAAGCAATATATTCACCAGGGACAGTATTGACAACATTTTCGGAAGTAGCCAAAAATTTGTCGATACGATCCGCGCTAACCTTCGCCTCCAGGCCCATCGACATGAGCTCTGGTATAATAGCGAGAGACGCCTCGAGGGAATTGAAGATTGCCATAGCCGTGAAAGCCACAGACGGTGTTAAAGCACCATTAATAATGGCGTATGTAGTCAACGAAACGGCGGATAAGCCGACGGGGCCGAGAACCCAGATCGCAAGCAGGCCAATATCAGCAACGAAGGAAGCCCACAATGCGCCAAGTTCGGTTTCTCGCGTATCCTGGACACGCTTCTGCCATTGCTTCTCCAAAGCGGAGAATTTGATCTGCCTGATTCCCTGCAGCACTTCAGTAACGATCGCCAGCTTCTGGTCACGGAATTTCATCAATCGGTCCTGGGCATTCGCATATTTTCTAGCTGCGTATGCATTCAGTGGTGTCACAAGTGCAGAGACTGAAAGACCGGCAAAGGCACTCCGCCAGCCGAGAATTTGGACCAGGAACGCAGCACCGATAATGATTCTGAAGGTCGCCTGTGGGATGACATAGTTGAACGAGGCAAAATCTGAAACGCGTCGAGCATCCACGGCCACATGGTTGATAATACTCTGGCGGCTTTTCTTCATTGCATCTTCGTCATCTTCGTCGTCCTCGGCGGATCCCTTGCTGGAACTATCGGATTTATCTGGCGTGTTGGACTTCTTTGTATACTTCACGTCCTTGCGACGCATGGCTTTGGCAAATATGACTGCTGACAGCTCTGAGTAGGTCGGAACTCCAAGTTTAGAGTATACCACCCAGAATAGCCACGCCTCTACGCTCGAGCTGAGGAACAAGAACCCACCCAGGGCGAGGACCCAGATATATGATGCCCCGATATTCCAGTACGGGGTACCACGCAGTTCAAGTGTTTTCAAGATCTGGAACAGGGCGACCTGTGGACCAAAACTCAGGAAGCAAATCAGGAGACTAAGCGTCGCCTGGGCGAGTAATGACCGCCAATGCGCCAAGATAATCGCTTTCCACAATTTCCGGTTCTGTCTAACAATTTCGAATTTCTCACGGAGGAAACCGGCACGATTCGCTGCCGTAAGCTTGGGAATATCGTCAAGCTCCATTTTCTTGTGCTTCACTGCATGGTTTAGCAGCTGATTGGACCAGCTGAAACTGAAGCGGCTGAGTAGAGAGACTGAAAGCTCCTGCTCAACCAACTTATCTTCATGGTACACATCCGGACGACGTGGTAGCAGAACACAGAATACAGCGCGAAGAGCAGCGCTAGCAATTTGAGCCACTTGCAGCCCGACCCAAACTCGGCCATGGGGGATGGGGAGTTGAGAGAATATTAAAATGCCCAGTTCAATTCCTGGAACTGCAATGGCAACGAGACTCCCCCAGAAAGCGAGGTAGCCTAGCACATATCGGCTTGTCGGTCGGGGCTCAGTGAAGAAAGCAACAGCTTGGATAGTGAGAAGAATCTACAAAATAAAAATTGACTGTTAGCTTCTAAATTGGATAGTTTCGTGCTCTTTGTCGGGGTTTCTGCATACCCACACTCCGAACTGCAGCCATATCAATGGCGTGGAATTAGTAATGAAGAGCTTTAATGTTGCAAGAATAGCCAATGCGAGGGTCACCAGAAACCCAGCGATGGAGAACAGGGCGATAGCGATTCTTTGCCATTTATCAGAGAAGGCTCGAAGGGATTCCTTGGTCGCTTCACCATCTTCATCGCGGTATACATCTTTGGCTAGCTGGATAGGCTCATAGTCGCGCGCTTTGCCGGCAATGCGGTTGGCGATACTCTGGATGGCAGGTATGCTATCCAGAGCGACTAGCGACAGGGCTAGATAGCTAGATGTCGCCATGTAGGACATATTCTTCGCACACGAAGAAGAAAGAAAAAAAAAGGACAAAAAGAATTATTAACGCGTTATCATCACCTACTATAACGAATACGACTATCCCTGCTAGCGTCTGCTATGTCACATTGAGCCTGGGGTGTGGGGGGGGGGTAAGATGGGAATAGACCGACCTTAGACCGCAAGTGACTCAGAACCCTCGCAGTCAGACTCATATATTGATGTCAGATCAATTTCCCTCCAGGGCTGAGTATTGAGTCACACGCATGCACTAATTTATACCTTACAGGTCCCGTGTTCAAGCATTGAACTACTTGTGTACTTTGTCGGCCAGAGCCGCCATGTGGACATTGTTATCTCCGTGCTCCGTGATTAATGGTATTGCGAAATATGGCGTAGTATGTTGTAAGCACTAAGCACTAACTACCTACAACTCTTGAGAGAATGCATACTTGTATAGCTTATGTCCATCTAATGCCCATCTAATGCAGGACCGGCCTCCACCCGCGTCTCGGCACAAAATCCTCCACGCCCTCATCATCCAAGACATCGCCCCCAAAACGCGCCGTGATAAGACTTCGCTCAGCTTCCGGCCCGTGCACGTAAAACGGCTGAAATCCTTTTCCCGCGGGTTTGGGGGTCCATGTTCTTTTCCTAGCTTTCACCCCTTCACTTTGATTTCCTCTCACAATGGTCGGTTCAAATCCAGATGATTCTCGGTCTAAACTGAGGTACCATCGCCGTTGATGGATCGAACCGATCGTATTGCTAGACCCTGGATAGGCGTTGTTTCTTTGAATTTCAAGGTCGGCGGTGTGGGTATTTTCTGCATGTGCATGCTTAGTCGGGCCGGTTTGAAATTCGGATTGAGATCGTTGCGGTGTTGGATCCCCACTTGATTCTTGATCAGGGGGCGGCGAAGGCGATTCCGAGTCCGAGGTAGACGCTTGTGGTACCGTTCGTCTGTATGGATGTCGACGACGCCGTTTGGGGCCTTCGCGGATCGGCCGCACGAAATCGGTTGATTTATCCATCCGCAGAAGAATAGTGTAGTCTTTTGGTAAACGGGTTCCATGCAGTCGGAGTCGGATTTTGCGCTGGGTGTCCTAAGCGTTAGAGGATGATTGTCTCCATGCTGTACGGGGATATACCTACATTTTGAAAAGCTTCTCGCAACTTCACACTATCCGAGATCTGCTCTTCCGGTGGACCATGACTATCTTCGGAGACCTCTGATCGAGAATCGTCGGTCTCGGGGCCAGATGAGTCCATCTGATAAGGTAGAATTTCATATTCTCCAGTGTCCCAAATAATGAGGCTTCCCGTTTTGTGGGAAGCTGATTCAATGAGATGATTCTGTGAACATGTAAGTAAATTGCTGGTATACCATCTCATTCCAGATTACAAACCCATAAACAATGGATCCGAGTCTCAGTTGCATTCCGGTTTAGTCGCTGGCTATTCGGATCCCCGGGCATCCCATACATAACCGACCAACTGACAGAGCTGGTCTCTGAGAACTGGAGGCGGAGATCATAATGGGGCCCTGCGATGGGATGGTCATGTTGATGGATGACAAAATGGCGTCCCTCTGGGTGCTCATTGCGTTTGTACAGCTCGATCCATTCCTTGATGGGCAGCCGCGGTATTGGTTGTTTTGGGAGTGGACGAACGTATTCTTTGAGCTTTGTGGAAATTGTGGTCAAATGATCGGTCACTTCAACCTGGCCTGCTTCGATGGCAGCCAGACTGAATGAAGTGTTTAGTTGTGATGTGGCCAGCGGGATGGCATCTCTTTCATCTCCATTCTTGGCCCATTTGATGGATGCTCTTTTTAATGGTGGAGAGACAGGCGCATTTAGGCTTAGGAGAATTGGGTGCTGTTCATTTGGCAGTATTTCTTTTTTCAGCTCATGCTCCGGACTGGTTTCTGGGCTGCAAGCGCGTTTCATGATTGGGACCTTCTGGGCTAGGGTGTGTCACAGCGTGTATCAAGCGAGTTTTTCAGTCATCACATGCATCAATGGCATTGTTTAATTCATGTATTACCTGTATGGCTTTATAGATGGAAAGTTGGGTTGATGTCGGCCCCGGGATATGGCTTAGTAACAAACGGCTCGACTTCCAACCTTGGAAAGTTTCCAAGGGCCAACGACGTCAAAGATATTAGACATGGAAATTTCCAATCAGTAACTGGAATGTAGCGCGAAATTATAAGTGACAGGAGGAAAAGGAAGAAATTCTAGCGAATTGTACAAGATCCCGTCAACATATTTATAATGGATACCATTCTGAAATCATATCTGCGCTTTTCATCAGAAATGTTTAAACCCCGAATTTGTTTCAATTTGAGACAATCAATAACAACAAAACTATATCACAGTGTTTGCTCAGTGCCTGCTCTTGCGGCAATATAAAATGTCGATTCCTCCCCAAAGCAACCCTAACCCTGAGGATCTCTCACAAACTGTCAGATACTGCCAGATAATAAGTCATGAGAATCGGTAGGGGGATTAACAATCACACTCTGCGGGTTGTGGAAGACATCCGTAGGATCTACCAGAGTTTTGATACGTTGGAGCCGTCCAAGATTTGATCCCCAGTAGGCCATTTGACCATACTTGAGGTAAGGATCAACATATCCCGGATAGGAACGCAGAGGACCGGGTGGTCGATGCTCTATCACAACTTGATGCAAGCGATTGAGAAACCGCCTTGAAACGTACGCAGGAGGCTCAAAGCCGATGACGGCATAGGATTGCATCCACATGACAGCATCACGGTGAACATAGGCCGTGGCATCCATGGGAACATCGTTGGTTGCGCCACCTTCTAGGTCGAAAATAACCCACCAGTTCTGAGTGCCCTTCGGTGTGGTGTCGAGGTATGTAAACAAGGAAACTAGGCCGTGCTCGGTGAACAGTTCGTCGACTGTGAACGATACTGACTTGGAGTAGAACGAAGTGAGTAAGGCTCCGCCGATGGAGACCAGGTAATTCTCAGCGGCGTGGGCTACTAAAGCTAACCAGTTCGTGATGTATGCGACGTTGCCCTTGTTTTGGATTGGGAGGCTGTTTTCTTGCTCAAAGGTTTGGAACTCATCTGTGGTTCCGAAGAAGCTGCCCGTGATAACAATACCGTCTGGGAAAACTGTGAGTTCGGTGGAATAATTACTCGTGATATTAGGCTTTGCAACGACGGCTTGCCAGGCTTGGAAGAGTTTGACTTTGTCAAGTACGTCTCCCTGGCTGAATGTATACGTGTATTGGACAGCACCTTTGGGAATTTCCTGAGTACGAACTTTGAACTCAGTGACGATACCAAAGCTGGCGGCCGCACCTTTGATAGCCCAGAAAACATCCTGGTTCTGGGTGTCCGATGCTCTCACAATGCTGGAATTGGCCAGGACTACTTCAACCTCCAGCACATGGTCCAGTGCAGTTCCCCATTGTCGTGACATGAGACCGAGACCACCAATGGTAAAATGACCACCGACACCAACTTGTGGACAAGATCCATGAGACATAGCTCTACCACCTGAATGCAGAAGACGATCTTGGAGATCACCCAAATTTGTACCAGCTCCAACCGTGGCAATGTGGGTGTCGGGATCCATGGAGAATTTCTGAAAGGTTTTTAGGTCGACGACAACATGGCCATCGGTTTCTCCCAGACCTACCATAGTAGGATTGGTTTAGCAAGGGTAGGATTTAGACCAAGAAGGCTTCATACCATAGATACCACAGCTGTGACCTCCACTGTAAGCCTGCACTCGGTAGTTTCCCTCGACGGCACAACGCACAATTTTAGCGACCTGAGTCGTAGTATTCGGATATGTGATCACATCAGGATGGACAGGAATGGCCAGGTTATATGATGGCAGGGCCCGGAATTCATATAACAAATCTCCGCGAAAAGCAGCCATATTAGGGTCTCCTCCCACGGCAGCCATGAAGCATTCACGGCCAGCAACGCTGGATGTATTCCCCATTTTGGCGAGAATAAGAATTGAGGATTATTTCCACGATGGTCAAGTCGAATTCAGCAAGGGAAGAGACCCGTAATGACCGGTGGAACATACAAAAGGAACTTGATTGCGACTGCTTCACGAGAGAGCCCTGGCTAGGTCTGCTGTTCACTCCGATGTCTCATTTTCTCGGTGTTACAGTTTTTACATATGTCACATTGGATTGTTCATACTCAGGGGGTCTCCTGGTTATTTAAAGTTGTTCGTCTAAACATAGTTACTCGAGTCCTGTCATGCTACTGCATGCAGGGACTAGTGTAACACGGACAATTAGTGCATGAAAGCGCTTGAAATGATGCGATCGAGAGTAAATGTTCGAATCGTCAACCAGTAAACCAATAATGGCCTTAGTGAATACCGAGAGATGCCGAACGAAACTGCTCGGGGACCACCATAACGGCGACGTCAATGGTCCCCGATCCGGAACCTTTTTTGACAGGCAATATGGAAACCCCATCTACTCCTTTAATTCATTCTTTTCTTTTCAAACATTGAATTCAAGAAAATCACAGGTTATAGGAATTCTTTTCCCTGCCTTGGGTGTTCTATGCTTCAGCTATCATAAGGATCTCCTATCAAACTTCACGGACCAACACATCCGCAATGACATCAGGAGTAAAACTTTAAGAACAAAGACGAATCGACAAATCGACAGAGCATCAACATCATGTTCACTCCAATTCATACCACACTGGGTGCGCTCTTACTATTCCACGGCTCAATCGGCCTGCTCGTACACAACGGCGCTGTCTTCGGCATATCCTCTCTCCTATCTGGGTGTGCCTTCAACCCGAGTCGTGACAATGTGCCCATTATCGCGGGTTTGGTGTCCAGCATTGTACCAGTGTACTTCTTGGCACCATCACTGATCCCGAACTATCCCGCACCTCCAGATTCCTGGGCTTCTGCTGCAGCAACGTTGGGAGTGGGCTTTCTATTGGGATGGGGAACCAAGGTGAGGAGTGTCGGACATAATTGGAAAAGGAACAGGTTGACTAAGTGAAAGTAGAACGGTCGAGGCTGTACCTCCGGACACATGCTGTGTGGCCTTTCGCGTCTCTCGCCCCGCTCGTTGATTGCAACCGCCATCTTCTTCACAACTGCATTGCTCACGGCAAACTTTGTCGAGGGCGGATCCAACATCCCGTCTTGTGGTACGGCTCCGTGTTATACACCAGTGTATCCTTCTGGACCCGAGTTGGGCTTCATGACTGGTGCAGCGCTGCTAGCGGCAATCACGAACTTCATCGTTGTCCCGCGGATGGTCCGTCGATCGGAGGAATCTAGGGTCGCCTATTCCTATGTGGCAGGGTTGGAGTTTGGTCTGGGCCTTTTGGTATCTGGAATGGCAGACCCAGCCAAGGTGCTCAGATTCTTTGCCATCTTGACTGACCCATCCCGATTCGATCCGTCGCTGGTGCTGATTATTCTGTTTGGAATTGGACCATCCCTGTTCACTTTCCTGGCTAAGAAACCAGGCCAAGCAGTCGAAAAGGAAAAGGCTGTTGCAAAACCTACCCTTGCCGAGAAATGGCGACTCCCAACAGCCACCGTGAGTGACATTGATTGGCGGTTTATTGCGGGTGCTGCGTCGTTCGGGTTAGCCTGGGGACTGAGAGGGGTCTGCCCAGGTCCTGCAATTTTGCGAACAGTCCTGCAACCGACTTGGGGACTGATCACGATGGGTGGATATATGCTGGGAAACCTCATCTAAGGGGAATAGAAAATAGAAATTATGAATATTTAATTCTTCATTAGCTTTGTCGACCTTTGGCGTCTCCGTGGGTGAATATAGTTGAGATTGGTGCATAATGAGGCAAGGAAAGCCCAAAAAGATGGATGCCCGGATATCTCAGGAGCTGCGTCCGAGATTCGATTAGCAAAGGAAACAATGCCATAGAATATGTACATAGTCGGTTCAACTGAGAATATATGCCATTGGTCCGTGAATAAATGCATTGGGTATATAACAGAGAGAGAAGAAAAAAAGACTAGACAGGGGACCGAAAATATAAAGGTGACCGCAGGAGTAAACGGAATGATGGCTTACAACTCAGTCTTTCTGCTCATGCGAAGTGCTTCCAACTCAGCAGGCTCGTCGTCACTGCGTGGACCGTGTACTGATGAATGGCTAAAGTATCCTTCCAACTCCATCCACTCAGCAGCGAAGGCAGTAACTAGCATGCTCCAGTCCTCGACGGTATCCAAATCTAAATGCTCACCGTCATCGTCGATTGTATGCCAAACAGGAGGGAATCCCTTGAAGGGGGCAAAGTCAATGAGATGAAGAATCTCAACACCCTTTGCGAGGAAAGGAAGGTGATCATCTTGGATGCCACCCATAGATGCGAGCTTGTGCCCATCCTTTGCGGTATCGACGAACCATGGATCAGCCGATGCAGACTTGAACTGCTTCAATGACCTGAAGCGCTTTTCAATGGCGCCCAAGCGTTGATAAGCCCAGTGGGTGGTCTCGTAGTAAGAGTGAATTGTCGGGGATTTCGAGCCCAGAAGATCCAACAGGACAAAAAGAGATATTGACGACAAGGGACTCTTGAATTCTGACATCGCGGGATAGACCTGGTCACCCCAATGTGTAGCCAGGGCACGAGCTCCATAGAGAGAATCGGCGTCAGACCAGTGTTTAAAGGCTTCTTCGCCATCCAAGAATATAATCTGGAGACCCCGCTCCTCTTCGAGGTAGTCATTCAGTCCCTGCTCCTTCAACGCGGACCATTTCTTCTCCAGCGCGGCATCCACGCTGCGCATGGCATGCATAATAATCGCACATGGTGCAGCGCTGTCGATCCCCCCGATGAAGCCTTCCGGCTCTATCTTGCTGTCATAATGCGCGACAAGCGTGAGCCGGCCAACGTCGCCAACCGAGGCCCAAGGAGGATCGCGAGTAGCGATGAAGTTTCGGAAGGGTACATCCTTGCCCTTTGATAGTGGTGTTTTCGATGTAGAGTTGTGGACCTCAATAGTCCATTTGGGCAATGTAGTTCGAAAAAAGTCGGCGAAGTGATTCAGTACCGCGGTGGAACCGGGGGTGCCAGGGACGCGGGTCCTTAGTATAGGTGACAACAGTGCGCCATTGTTAATATCGAAGTCGTTATTGGGCCGCAGTAGTCCGATCAGCGTCTTATCTGATAATTCCTCGTATGCATCTACACATGATAGAAGCATTAAAAGAAGACCTAGCCAAAATGACACAATGCCAGGTGTTATGCGATAAGCCGAAGACATGGGGTTGAAGGAGCTCGCGCTAACTGCTCATGACCTGCATCAAAGGAACGATCGAACAGAGTTCAAGCCTAGTCCAGCCAGGTACTCAACGGTATTATCAGGTATGAGAGCAAAGGAGAACGAGAACGTGTCAAATACTGGCAAGGGTTAGCTCGTGCAGCGATCCAAACAGAGCGGAAGCTAAGGCGGTCACCTTTTTGCCGAGCAATCGGCATCACGGCGCGATTTATTGGGTGTTGATCCACGTCCCAATTCTAAGCCAACTAGATTACACAGGCACAATGCGACTACAGATTCTACTTCACCCTCAATTACGCACAACTCTACCGGAATGCGCCCAGCGCAGTCTTCGGAGGAGCGTCTGGGTCCGTTTCAAGTCGCAGATCCCTCGGCCGTCGCAGAAGCATCTTTCACCATTACCCAAATCGAAGGAAAACCTTCCAGCTCCGCGTTCTCCAATCGCAAGAACCATCACACCCCAAAAGACAACTGTCAGGACAGGTAGTGTTAACCCCCCCCCCCCCCCTCCCCCCCCCGGCTGGTCATTGAATGCGTGTGCTGAGCTAGAGTTGCAGGCCCACCTGAACGAATCTTGGTCTACTATGGAGGGACTGGCAGAGCTATCTTTCTGGGGACACTGCGAATCACCACAGTGATTCTATTTGGTGCAGCATGTCTAATCGTTGCACCGGCATGCTCCGTGGCTGATTACCCCTGGTACAGCACACCTGCGGGTAAGCTACATAACTTGGATATTAGACCGTCTGAGCATCTATGCTGATTTTACTCTAGTGATTGCCGCTGGCGCCCTGCCAATGCTATTTGTGTCCTATACTGCTGCGCCTTATGTGAACTTCATCCATTTGGCCCTGCCCGCATTCGCCAGAAAGTCCCGGGAAGCTGCCGTCCAGTATGCGAAAGACCTACCCCCGACAGCTGTGCTGTATCTCACCAACATGCGGTTCAATACTATTCCCCGGCAAACGGCTGTTCGCCTTGGAGATCTCGTTCCGTTCGAAGACTCCTTGCGACCCGTCACATTCAAGAATCTGAATCCATCGCCGCAACGATGGTGGCAGGGCAGAGCTCCAACCCAATTCTATACTGGAACCCACAGCAAACCCGGGAGACAGACCTCGGCTTTCTATCCGGAATTGTGGAATGGAATTTACCAGCAAATTCAAAAAGCCAAGTCGCAGCCTCGTTGATCGAATATAAATTTGCGACTTGTTGGCGAGTTACATTAACGATTTGACGTCAGATTCCGTCAGTTGATTGATCGATAGAGCCAGTCTCGGCCACTATAATTCAAGTCTTGGTAACGGCCAATTGATAATTGGTCACACCGGGGGCAATTTGATGCCTATAACTTTACCTTCGGGTCTTGTGTCTTTGCTATATAGTAACTATGAAGTCCCGGTCATAATTAACGTGCATTCAAATGGAAAGCAGACATTTTCCCATGCCTTAGGGGAAAACCCCCATTTCTTAACCGCCCCGAATCCAAATTTCGCGTTACTTAGACATCACTTGGACGTTAATCGAGTCGAAATTAACATGTATCAATTCTGTTAGCACAAAGAAGCATTTGATAGCAAGGAAAGATCAAGTCTGTTTATATGTCCTTCCCCGAGGTCTCATCTAGCCCTCATCTCATCATCTCAGGCAGCTCTGAACTAAAGGCCCTGCAAAAAAGGGCATTGTCCCTTGAATATCTTTGCGATCGAACGTCTGAACGCAGTTAAATAGCCTTCATGATTGGCTCAACTGGTTCTCTTCCTTTGTCATCTTTTAAGTTCACAGTTTCACGTTGATCGTCTGATGTTGACAGTGTTGCATTGGCAAGCTTGTGTTCTACAGGATCAGTTCACTTTCTCGTTTTACAAGATCAGTTCAGTCCATCTTGTTTTCCCCTTTTCAGATCTACACGGTTTCCCATTTTTGTTTTCGCCTCCACACCATCTCTCTTTCATCTTGCACTCGTGACTTCAAATTCAAATCCGCCTTGATACTTGACTCGGCCACATTTACGTACAATCTCAACGAACCAAGCCAAGATGTCTTCCCCAGCTAATTCCAAGGAGAAGCTCTTCCCTGGCATTTCCACGACTGAGACCAAGCTTCTAGTCCTCGCCAATGTCTGCCTGAAGAACGACAAAGTATGTCATTTGGTCCCAAGGTTTCTCATTGCAATATGCCTGCTAACATAGTGCACCACAAAGATTGACTACGACAAGCTTGCTTCGAATGCGGGAATCAAGGCGTCTTCCGCTCAAACCCTTTTCCGAATGGCCAAGCGAAAGCTCGACAAGCTGTTCGGCGATGACAATCCTGATGATGCCAATGGCAGTGGCAATGGAAATGGTGCCCAGGCCGATATATCACCTGAGGAGCCCCCGTCCAAGCGTGGAAAGTCGACCGTGAAGGCCAAGCCTCGCACTCCGAAGACTCCTAAGCCTCCCAAGACCCCCAAGACTCCCAAGGCGACCAAGACCCCCAAGGATAGCAAGGGCGCTGTCAAGTTCGAGGAGAGCAAAAGCCAGATCCCCGTCGACCCCAAGCTTAGTCCTACCACCACGTCCGCCACCGTTTTTGCTGAAGATACTAGCCGTGAAATGGCCGTTGCTGACCCTTCCGCTGACCCTTCCGCTGACCCTTCCGCTACTATTGACGCTACAAAGGTCAAGACTGAAGACCAGGATGAAGGAAATGAGAACATCGACAAATACGAGAAGACAGACGAGGACGCACTTGATCTAGCTGTGAACCGGCAACTTCCTGAGTCTCCATTGCCCAAAGAAGAGGATGATCCCACCTATGAGGACGTGCAGGAGGACGAAGAGCACGAGTATTAATTCCGGGCTCAGCACATCAAGAGCACGATATGGAACAAATTGAAATGGAACACATTTGAGACGGGCTGGCTCTTAGGAGATTACCAGGAGGGGATTAAGAGGAGAATGTGAGGAGGTTACGGGAACCGTGAACACTCATGAGGGGAAAAAAAAAGTATTTACTGGTTTGTCTTAAACAAGTGATACGGCATTCATATCAAACACAGTGGATGTTACCAGCCAGTTCTTTGAGCAAAAGAGTGCATTTCAACTAGAATACTAAGTAGAGTGAAAGGCTATGTGGGTCCTGCTCCGCCAATGCAAACTAACCACTAGGCCAAAAAGGTCATAGCCAGATCAGGGCATGACCAGATCTGTCTGTAGCAATATATATACCAGGCCCCTAAAGCCTTAGGGGACCACATGTTGGGCGCTGACCAGGAAACGATAATTCAGATCAAACAGGAAAGCCCCACACGCGAAAATCCGGTACGTATATTTATATACATATGTACAAAGTATAGTTCAAGCTTAGTAGCCAGAGATTTCATGTGGGTAGATTGGCACCCCCCTGTTTGGAGCTGCATGGATGTTATGCATGGATAAATCGATGCGGATAAATACATTAGGCCTAGATGATTTTTCCATGGAAGATAGTTAGCGGAAAGAATGTTAAGGTCACTTGAAATGTGTTGTCTTCAATATGAATCCCGGAGTAATGGTGGTTTAGTATACGAAGTGCATAGACCACCTGTACCACCTGCATATGACGCTACAAACGACCGGCTGCAAGGGGTATCGAATTTATATACGAGATATGTATCTAATCCTAAGCCGACATACACTGCTAGTCTGACAGATCTATATCTAACTACATAGAATTTATTGTGTAGCACTCTAGGCTGCTTCTTTCCAGGAACATCCATCGGCTCCCTATCGATGGACCAGACACTAGGTTAATACGGGCTACCTGGGGACCCCATACGAAGAAGATTATATGATCATGTTCAACTACAGCCTTGTTCTAGCTCAGTTTAAACCCCAAATAATCAGGGAGTATCGATACGGTGGGTCAAATAATTAGCTTGGGGATGTCAGACTATCGCTATGATAGGCTCTATTCGCTTTTAATTCACTAACTACTATCATCGGGATCTACCCAAACTACACATATTGGGTATTGATTTGGATGATTTTGTCATTTGTCCGTTAGTTAGGAGATGTCCGTAGTGAACTCCATTGATACTCGATTGGTATTCTTTTGACTCCTTCACGAAATGATAGAAGCCAACACGCCCAATTACTATTTGCGAGTTAAACCGAGAAAGCAGTGGCCGTTGATACAGGATTTCGTTGAGTGTGCAAATCACTCGCATAGAAAAGTCCAGTTTCAACGAATGCTTTGGGAAGAGATGAGTGATGATTAAAAGTCACAACAGAAACCTTCCTCCACGCCTGAAGCTCACGTTTCCTAACACCCTTGATCCCCGGAGATTGTTTCAACCTGACCTTGATGCCTCACTCTCTAGCGCTGCTTTCAAAATTGGCCCCCGTTTTTTAGGGCCCGGGACGTCCCGTGTGGACATGGGCATTTTATTGGCTCTTGCCCCGCATGGAGCAGGCACTTCTCTTATTTTCCCATGCCTCTCTTCTCTCTTACACCCAAACCATCCCAGGACGGCTGATTATAAAACACGACGGGGAGAAAATGGAGGGAGGCCGGGTATCTTTGAAGCGATCCAGTATGATCTCCTTCCCTTCCGAGGGTGTACAATCCCAGGTGTGAGCGAAACTGACATTTTTTTGCCAAACAGGAACGGAATTAGAAGACAATGAATCGACAGACGATGTCTCTGAATACGGTGTATCAGATGACACCGAGGAAGAAGAATGGTGGACGGAAGATGAGAGCGAGGATTTGATTTTGGAACAAGACGTTGAAAACTACGAGTATACCACCCCCGGTGACACACCTCGAACGGTGAAAATCCGGCTCTTTTTGACCGATGAGGAAACGGGAGAGTTCAAATGGATGAAAAATTTTGTCGCCAAATGCACTTGCGATGGCATCGTTGTCGCTACTGCTCTGGCTCGGTATATTTATCGAGAGAGCATGCGCTCCGAATTCTGGGAAAACATGGAAGAACCCAGCGAGGAAACGTGCGGTATGGCCTTCGATGTCTTTGATCGATATGGAACAGTCAAGACCATATTTAAGCACCATCCAGTGCAAAGAGGGACTGGTGTATGGGGAAATGAGCTTGATCATGGCCCTCTTTTCCTAATTGAGGCACTTCATGTCAAAGCACTGGAGCTACGTCGGAAAGGGCTGGGGCAGAAAGTAGTATCTTTACTTTTGAAAAAAGCCAACCAGCTCTGCCTAGACAATAAGGAAGACGGCAAACCCAGACACGTGGATCTTTTCTACGGTTCTAATGAGGCCTTTGAGCAAGAATGGACTCTACATGCTTTAGTCAGTCCCGGAATACTGACAGTGGATATCGAATCTCAGTTAGTGGGTAAGTCCGCAGAAGAGCGCTTGATCACACGGACTCGAATTCAATCCGGTGCTATTGACTTTTGGCGATCGTGCGGTTTTCGCCGAATTGGAGCATCTCGCTGTTTCGCATTTTCGTTCGATCTCCACCACCAGTCTCGCGCTCTTGCGGCGGCTTCTGATTTCGAGCCGCGTAGAAGCCATAACAAAGATCTTGAAGACGAAGAACTCGAAGTTATCTATGAGACGAATTGCCTTACTGACTTGAAGAAACTGAAAATGGAAAGACTTCGTGACGCGTTGCCACTGCACCACGCAGCTCTCACCCTGACGGATGAAGAACTCAAAGCTTTTTTCGTCACTCGTTCTGACGATGAGGTTGGCTGGAATCGAGTGACCAACTCTGAAGCCACGCTTCTGCATCTAACAGCTGGCGAGCTTAAGCCCCAGAGTACACAGTGGCTTCTTAATAACGTCCACCACGCTGAGTCCTGGAAGACGGCTCGTGATATTGACGGGTACACCCCGCTCGAAGCATTGCAGGAGAATTTAGAGACAATGCGAACACGAATGGTACATGGCTTTTTCAGGGTCTCGAACATATCAGATCACTTCGAAGGACACCCCGACACCGCAGTGTCCTGTCTCTCCCTGCTGCTCGGGCAGGAAGCTTTGGGGCTTAATAAAGCATGCCTCCGGTACGGGTGTACATGCGGAGAGTGTGTGAAAGGGTTTCTATCTGCCCGGATGAGGAGCTCTCTGATCGCTCAGGGCGAGGTTATGTACGACCTTATGCAGGATGAAATTGATGATGGCGATTTCTGGACAAACTGTAACGACTACAAACTCGAGCACCTCGATTATGATGTGCAAGAGAACCTTAAAACCAACAAATCACTACGAAAGGGGTTTGTGAATCTTTTCCAAATTGCCGTGGAGTGTCTTCAGACAAAAAAGGTTCCAACCGCTGCAAATCTCGAGTGGTACTGTAAAAATCGGAGCGAGTGGCCACCACATACCAAGAACTATCTGCGACGCGCTGGAACGCAGATGGGGTGTCGAGCAGTGCTTCGGGAGATGTTTGACGGTGCTAAGGAACAGGATGAGAAAGCAGGTGATGGAAAGTGTCAACTCATATTGAAGAAGGAATGGTCAAATCTTCCAACTTGCAGGAATGATCATGAGTTTGAGTGTGTTGCTAGGGCCTGTGGCTATGGGGGATGACTCTAGTTCGTTACCATACTGGTAGATCGATTTTCTTACATCCCTACATGTATTCATACCCTGACATATTAGGTCCTTTGCTTGATAATTTATCTCTTGATCACACTTCCCTCCTTGATATCCGTATCATCAACCGTCGCTTCTACAACCTCCTATTCAACTTGTATTACTGTCTAATATCACAGACCGCAATCATGTCTTCCCAGAAGCAAGAGAAGACCCCCAACCTAGTAAAGAGCTTGGGGCTCACCCCAAGTCAGACGGACCACCTCTTGATGGGATATCTATGCATGCAAAAGCCAAAGGTGAGTGAGAGAGGGTGTTGTCAGATCTCATATTATTTGAGCCCAAGATGAACATTCAGAATAGCTTGATTGGCAGAAGCTCGCGGGGCTTATCAATGTCACACCTGCTTCTGCTAAAAGTGCCTTTGGCAAGGCTCGACGTACCCTCGAAAAATGGGAGGAGAAGAGGACCGCTGGAGTGGTTACCAAGCACGCCGCGCAAGATGAAGAGGATGAGAAAGATACTGAAGATGCCATGGAGGCTACGGAGAATGCACAAGCCAAGGATACCGAGAATTAGGATGAAATGAGATCTAGATTAAACGCAGTGGTCAACTGTGCAACTTTCACGTGGGCTCGAGGCTCCAGGTTTACATGTGTTGTTCAAGGTCAGCCTTAGGGTAAAGCTCCATGGTAAATCATACAGAATCCAAGATTCGTAATTAAAATGGCATTGAAGTACAGTTGGTTGGCTCAAGGGATATAAGGTAACCTGCTGGCTTCAAATCCAAGATCACAAGTTCCTTATTTCTCCAAATAAGGTGAAAGTAACATTGCTTCCTCTTCACCACAGCCCCCAGCCTTGAGCCTTTGCACAGCAACTCACTATTCCACCACAGAAAAAGAAACCCATCCATCGACAAACACACCACATACGTTGTCAACTGACACAATGTCGTCCCCGTCTCCCAAGAAGAAGCCTGACCACCTGGGCGATTTTACAGCCGGCGAAATGAAGCTCATTATGGCCAGTGTCCTGTGCACCCCAGGAAAGGCATGTCCCCTTCCAAGTCTTTGAGTCATGACTCGAACTAACAGTACCTATAATTTAGATCGACACCAACAAGCTCGGAAAGCTGACCAGCATGAAGAGAAATTCGGCAGCAAGCCGATTCCCATCTGTCAAACGCAAGCTGGAAAAGATGTTCGAGAATCAGCTGGACACCCTAGGCGCGCAGGATGACACGGCCGTGAATGACAACTCTCCCCCTAAGAGCCGAGCGAAGAAGCGTCGTGACAAAGTTGTGGGACCACAGCCGAAGGCCGAACTTAAGACCGACACCCAGGCTGAATCTGGAGAAAGTTTCGATACTCCCGTGAAGATCGAGACTGATGTTGAATCTGAAGATGATACCAAAGATGAGAAGAACAAGGCCGATCTTGTCAACATCAAGGCTGAACCTATCGACTAAATGGTTAAATGTACCATGTCTTCAACACGGAATGAGAACTAGGAATGGGGTCTTTGATGCAGTTTGTCCCGGGTATTGACTGGGCACTTCTCGCAGAATCTTTCATGGTATCTGAGTATCGGAGAAGTTGATTTGACTGGAAAGTACATTACAGTATCCCAGGTGTATCTAGTTCGGCCTCTCACATGAGAATGGCCGCACCGTATGTTTGCCCAATGAAAACCAAATTGCACAACATGAAATAACCGGCGACTCGCTGGTATAAATTGCCCTTTCTTTCCCTTTGTCTTTCATGTTCCTTCAACACACTTACTCTGTGATTCTGCCTTTGATGCCAGTTCATCCAGCCAAGACGTCCATCTACTAGCGCATGATGGTTTTCCAATTTGGAACCAAAGGCCCTGGATGGTTGACTCTTACAGGGGCCGAAATCAAGTACCTACTTCTTGCAAACTTTTGCTATGGCTCGCAGGTTGGTGCCTATATACTCTGAGGATTAGCTTGTACTAAACACCTTTCAGGACGTTGACGAATATTATCTGGCGCAGCTGGCGGGCGTGAAACCCGATAGTGCTTTAGGTGGATTCCGAAGTGCGAAGAAAAAGCTCGTGATGTTATGTTCTACTGATATGCATCTTTTGTCGACTTTGTCAAAACAAAAGTGTGACAGCCCTACAGAAGATACATCCGACGAGCAGATAAAAAAGCGTCCAAAGCACAAGAAATCAAAGCTTTTGCCCGACGCGTCCGATGAAGGAAGTACAGCAGAGTCTTCTGAATCAGAGATCGACGAGTCTCCATCAAAGGGCCCACACCGGAAGACCATGCACAAAGACCATGCTAAACGCAAGGGCAAAGGCAAGAACCCAACTCTGGACACTGAAAGCGAGGATAGCCTGAACAGCGAGGTTGAAGAAGACGATTCCTCTTCGGAAAGCTTCAAAGTCCCAAGCAAGACCCAACGTCGGAACACCAAGCAGAAATCTACAAAGCACAGCAGACATACCAAATACTCTACGAACCATGGAGTGACAAATGGAAGATACAGTCCTTTCCACGCAGGTAACAAGTCCTCGTCCTCCTACGCAGATCGTCTCACCAGCCAGCGGAAGCGTGGTTTAAAGCGTGACAGAAACCCATACGAGTTCGAGGACGAATTCACAGAGGAAAGTGCCGACGAGTCATCCGGTGCAGAGATAGCCGCCTCTTCTTCCCGTGCTAGCCACGGCAGAGTCAAGCGCAAGCGACTCGAGAAGCCCAGTGGACTGTCTGATACTTCAGACAACGAGAGTGACATCGATGAAGGAGTCGGACGCCGAGCTACTCAAGCATTTACCAAGGCCACTTCATTCAAGAGCAGAGCCCAGACTGGAAATCACAAGAAGGTTGACGAAACCAATGACCTCGCTGTGTCCCCTGTTAAGGACCTCGCTCGACGAGCTATGGACGGCCTTACTCTGGGTGCAAATGTATCGAAAATCAACGCCAAGTCTCGGAATGGGAGCCGCAAGAAGCTTGATAAAACCAATGACCTTGCCGGGTCCCCAGGTAAAACCCTCGTTGGAGAGGCTATGGATAGTCTGACTCTGGGTGGAGATGCATCGAAGACAGATGGTCGCACGAGCACAAAGCATGGAAGTGGTGACGCTATGTATGAGGAGAATGAGGAACCCGAGGAGCCTGAATCTGATCATGTTTCATATTGATTGGTTGGGGCTATCATGTTTGTTAGAAAGGGAAGCGGGAATCTACGTGTAGGACTATGAACTACTGGATTGTTCGACTACGTATTTGTGGTGATGTTTTCTGTTGCGTTGTGTCTTGCTCGGCAAGTTATTTTCTGACGTTAAACGACAAAAAACAAAAGGAGGAGAAAGGGAGAAAAAGGAAACGGAAACGATGAAGCAATGGAATTGGTGACCTAGTTTGATAATTTTGATGGATTAAGGCCGACTTGGAATGAAAAACATGTTTTACTTTGGAGATGCAATAGAAATAGGAGACTAGACTCGCAAAGAATGACAAGATAACAGAACAAACCCAGAGGCGCCTTTTGAACCAACATAAAAAAACAGAATGAAAGCCGAACACGATCGGCCAGTCAAAGTGAAAAGTAGACAAATATCATAAACACATATTATGAAGAAGGATGGAAGAAATAACGAAGCACCATCTAACATGTATCTGAATCACTAAAGTGCCTCAATTGCCTTAATCAAGACATCCAAGCCGCGATCAGAGACATCGCCTGCATTCGAGTCTTCCTCTGTAACAGACTCACGCAGGGCCCAGGCCACATCACTCCACCAGCCCAGGCCGATGAGACCACCGCCCTTACGGCGTTCCAGGCTCTCCTTGAGTCGGCTAGTGTGCTCCCATTGTTTGGCAGCATTCTCCGCACACTCAATGACCTTGTTTGGAATACCACACATGGATGCACAGTGCATACCGAAACTGCCTTCCGCAACACCATTCTCAAGCTTGTATAGGAATGCCACACGGCGCTCGACGTCGTCGACATGGATGGCCATACGCTTGGGTGCGATCTCGGGATGATTTTCAAACTCGGCAGCAAGAGAGTGATAGTGGGTGGCAAAGAAGCCCAGGGCTCCGATGTGGGTAGCAATATGATGTAAAACGGCCTGGGCCACTGCCACACCATCATAGGAACTAGTTCCGCGACCGAGCTCGTCAAGGATGACGAGTGAGCGAGGAGTAGCTTCGGATAGAATCTTCTTTGTTTCAGAAAGCTCGACAAAGAATGTCGACTGGGCAGCGAAGATGTTATCGTTTGCACCGAGTCGAGACATAATCCGATCGACTGGGGTCAGTCGGGCTGACTGGCAAGGAAGGTAGCAACCGATCTGGGCCATAATGACAGCAACACAGGTCTATATCTGTTAGCAATATTATTAAAACAAAGGGGGGAAAGGGGTAAACACACCATTCGGAGAACTGTAGACTTTCCGGCAGCGTTAGCACCGGTCAACAAGTCAATGCTAGCATGATTGCCACCGAGCTGAATATCATTGGGAATAAAGTCCTCAACAGAGGAAAGAAGACAAGGGTGGCGAAGCTCTTCAAACTCGAGGACACTTCGTTCATCCTCCACAAACACTGGGCGGCAACTGGGATGGCCAATGGCCCCGGAAGCCTTAGCCAAACTGATCAGGCAATCAAGCTGGGATACAATTCTAACGGCAGCCAGCCAAGTGCTGTAATGCTCATCGAAGCGGGCATGGAACCGTCCAGCAACCTCTTTAACGATTTGACTGTGAGTTTCTTGGGCCTCTTGCAACTTGCGAATGAGGCTTCGGAGCTCAGGGAAGTAGTATCGTTTGACTTGCTTGGTCGCAGACATCTGGTTCCAATCCTTGGGCACATTCTTCACCTTGATTGGGACTTCGAGTTGGTAGATTTCCTTGCCGTTATCCCGGTAGCAGATAGCAGACGACCCCAAATCCCGGCGAGCTTTCTTCAGCACAGCGTCGAGGTCCCGGTGGAGTTGCTCAATGATCTCCTGGGAGTTATCGAAGTCTTCTTCGACGCCGGACTCCGGAACAAGAATCCCATTCTCCTTTGCCTTTGGACGATCGAATGCGGTCTTCCAGTATCCTAGCAGAGAGGCAAGATCGGGCATCGCGGTTGTCAACTGACCAATGATGCTTTCGCCTGAGCCAGTCTCACTTTCCTTAAGGAGACCCATAATATAATCGATTTGTTCGAATCCTTCCAAGACACGTACAAAGTCTTGAGCCTTGCAGTTACCAGCGTGGATACGAGAGATCAGTCGTTCGAGATCCGGCATCTTTGTCAACTGGGAAGAGAACTGGTCCCGAGCACTGGAATCTGCGTTGAGTGAATCAACTGCGTCCAATCTTGCGTTGATTTTCTTGGAATCAATCAATGGGTGGCATACCCACTGCTTGAACATGCGCTTGCCGAATGGTGTGATGCATCGGTTGAGCAGCTGGAACAGAGTGCCCTCAGAGCCGCCATCGAAGGAATTGGCGAATATCTCCATGTTGATCAAGGTCTGGCCATCTAGTACAAGACTCGTAGCCTTCTTGATAGGATCATACCACGTGAAGTTCCCAATGGTGATCAAGTCCCGCTCAATCTTCAGCATTCGCAAATATTGAACCAGAGCACCGAATGCACACATCAGTAACTCCTTCTCGCGAGCTTGACGCAGGGTCTCGGGCCAGGCTGTGAGATTATCGTCGTCAACGGAGACAAAATACTCGCTTGCCTCGAGTTCACGGATTGTGACATCAGATTCCCAGAACTCCTTCCCAGGTTTCATGAAATTCCAGATAGTCGTAGGTCCAGTGTTGTTTTTTAGAATGCGCATGGCCTTTTGTGAAACACAAGATTTCTCCAGTAGCAACTCCCGAGGACGGGTCTGGGCGACAAAGGTTTCGAATTTTGTCATGTCAACATCGTCCACAAACTCAGACAAGAAGAATTGACCCGTAGCAGTATCGACAAATGCGATACCGAACGCGGGATGCTCGTCCACAATCGCTTCCTTGATCGCAACACAGTATGTGGACATATCATCTGTAAGCATGGAACCCTCGACCAGTGTACCCGCCGTAAGGACACACGCAAGCTCTCGCTTGATGATCTTATCTTCTTTGGTGGGCTTCTTGCCCTCTCTCTCACGCATTTCTTTACCAAGTGCGGATTCAGATTGGTCCACACGGGCAATCTTGAAGCCCTTGGCCACGAATTGGTTCGCCCAGTGATCTAAACTCATCTCGGGAACACCGACCATGCGCATGTTCACTCTGTCCGTGAGCTTGAGATCAAAAAGTTGGTGACCAATTGTGGCATCGTTTTCGTAAAGCTCATAGAACTTGCCCTTCTTGAAGAAAACGACAGTATCCCAGAATTTCTGCTTGATCTCCCAGTATTGTTTCTCGAAAGGCGAGAACCCTGACCACGCGAGCGGAGGAATATAAACAGTTCGTGGATCGTAGTCAGGGTGGCCCTTGGGGTTGCCGTCGATATCTTTGAGATTAGCAAGCCATGCATAGCGCTGCTCAGGCTCCCTGGTGTGGACCTTCGCTTTTTTCGTGCTGGATGCTGTTTTGGTAGACGCCACAACAGCTCTTTCTTTCCGAGGTTCCGTGTTCTCCGGATCAAACGCCCATTTCTTCGCAGTTCCAGCTGAACCTTCTCCCTCTAGGATATCAAGATCGATGTCATCGGCGGGTGGCGGAGGAGGGACGGATGAAGATTTAGAGGTAGGCTTGCGTGTCGATTGGGTAGATGGTCTTTTCCGCTTAGTGGACGATGTGGCTATCTCTTCATCGGAGTCATCTGCAACGACGAAATCGTCCATTTCTATATCTTGATTAGTCGTGTGCCAGCAAAACCAAACAGCAACAGAACACCATACCATCATCCGAGTATCCCCCATTTTCTCCAGCATCTTCGAACTCATCTTCACTCTCTAGCTCCGTTCGTCTTCTCTTAGTTGCACGGCCGGAGATGCGGTCCTTGCGATTAGGACGGAAGATAACCTCATCGTCATCCTCGCCCTCGGAGTCAGACTCCTTATAGCTCACCTTCTTTTTTGCCTAGTGAGATAAGTCAGCAGGGCAGATCAATTGAGCAATCAGATGGTATACGTACCCGACGCGAAGGCGACATAGTGGAGTCCTGTTCTGCCTCCTTGGTGGTCTGAGGAGTGAAGAGTTTAGTCGGAGTGAAGGAATAAAACAAACAGCAGGCTCCAGATCAAAATACCTTTAAAACACTACCATTTTCCACTTCCTCCTCTGGTACTGGAAGATCGCTGCTTGGTACAGGACTTAAATCCTGCGCGAAGCTTGAGAAACTTCGCTTTTGTTCCTTCGGTGTGGGCTTGACAGCACTCTCAGTACGCTTTTCGGAGGCTCTCTGTGCGGGGGATGATGCCGGTTCCTGTGTTCGATTATTCGAGGGAGTCGCTGGTGAGGACTTTTGGAAGAAACCAAGAATTGACTTCTGGTTTCGCATATTCTGAGCGCTGGGGGTTGCGCGCTTGAGCGCGGGTGAGGATGCTGACGGAGACGAGGCCGATGCTTTGGCCATATTTTTTTATAAGATAAAAGCAATTGACACTGGAATACACTTTCAACTCAACATGGGATGGGATGGGAGTTGTGAGGGAACTGGGGACGGGGAGAAGATAAGGCGCGGATCGCGTCGACGCGTAAAGCACTTCCGAGACTCGACCTGTCCATTTGATCGACACCAATGGACACCCGCAATACTGTGTTTTCCACCATTATTACCATTATTACTTGGATTTTGTCTCAAGGGGGGATGACTTTATAATATTTATAATATTGTACAGATTGGATATTGTAGAATTACAGATCTAGTGGAGATTCGCCTTATTCTGACTTGGTCGGTTCAGCCGCCTCAGTCTCCCATCCGGGAGCTGTGAGCCCTTGCGCGCGGAATTCTTCATCGGGCACAATGTGAACGGCCTTGAGCTTCCACTTGCCCAACTTGAGCATTAGGAGATTGCCATTCAGGACAAAGTCCTTTGTTTTCTCTGCCTCCCACGGCCGGATGGGTGTGAAAGACAATTGGTCCGACATGGGACCACTGTCACCAGGACGGCTTCCGACTTTGGCGCCGTTGTTGATGATAACTCGGTGGCCCTCGCTCTTAGATGAAACAAGGCCAGCTGACCACAGAATTTTGTTGAACGGCTGGTTGAAAACAAGGGATTCGGGAAGGGTGACCTTGATATCGCCCATGTTAGCCCAGTTTGTTTGGGGGGCATATGGATTCCCGGATTGAGGAGTCTGGAAGCCAGCGGTGGGAGATTGAGGATGTCCGGAGGAAGGAGCGGATGACTTGGGAAGAGGAGTGGGCTCTGCAGTTGAGGATCGGGGACGGAAAAGCTGGCGGTGTTGGAGAGCCACGGCATCAGCTTCGGCCTTGCCATGGATAAGCTCAACAAACTCGAGGGCAAGCTTGTGCTGCGCAACACGCTTGGAGGGGTCCTTGTTCTGTTCCTCCATGATTGTGGCGATTTCAGGCAAGGGGATGAAAGTGAATAGCTTGAGGTAATGCTCGACAACGTCGTCAGGTGTGCGCACAAAGAACTGGTAAAGTTCGAATGTGGAAGTCAGGTCCTTATCGAGCCAGACAGCGTTTCCAGCAGACTTGCCAAACTTCTCGCCAGACGGGGCTATCAGTAGCGGCGTAGTGAAACCGATTGGCCGATCGATTTCTGATTCTAATGGGTTGCGGAGTTGTTCGTCGGCCGTGTTTCGACTGATAGACTTGACAGCCTCCATGCCAAACAGGATATTTCCATACTGGTCGGCACCTCCGACTTGGATTTGAGTGCCCTTTTGGAACAGCGTCCACCAATCCCAGGCCTGGAGAATAGGGTAGGAAAACTCAGCAAAGGACATGCCATCTCCTTGGTTCAGTCGTGTCTTGACACTAGTAGAAAGCGTCAGTGAACCCGTGACAACAGCCGTCAGACTTGCCAAAACTCACGTATCTCTGCCGAGCATGGGACCAAGTCGCATGAAAGCGCCAAGGTCTCTCAAAACTTCAAGGAAAGGCATCGAGTTCCACCAAGTGTTGTTGTTTGTCAACGCCCGCTTCCACATAGGGTGTCTCTCGTATCCGTGTCTCCTGCCGTACTGCTCAATGCTCGAGCCCAACTTCTTCAATTGCATATGCATGCTAGCCATGTTTGCTTTTCGAATTGATGAGTGGACTGCATCTCGGCCCTTGAGGCGCCCACTGGGGTCGCCGACTCTAGAAGTAGCACCACCGAGCTATATAGTGTTGGTTGAGGTATTCAATTGGGCGCGAAGTTGCAGACAACTTACTAGGAATGTCACAGGCAAGCCCCAGATATATCCCCAGGCGAGAACCATGAAAGGAAGCATGTGTCCGACGTGCATTGAAGGGGCAGTTGGGTCGATTCCAACATATATTCCAGCCCGCTTCTCTGTAAAGACCTTGTGCAACAAATCCCGTTCGCTGTAATCCAAATGAAACGATTAGCGAGCCATACGAATGTTTTTCCGCAGACAATTCCATCAGCTTCAGTATTCCAATTTAACATACCCGACAACATCATGAATCAACCCTCGCTCCTCAAGGTGTTGCGCGAAGTTCTTCCTATTCCCGGCCTTGATTTCTTTTGCGAATCCAGCCCACTCCTTCTCCCCTTCCTTCATACGCTGGATATGCTTAAATGTGATCCATCTCTGCTGTTGGAAGCATGTGCTGGACTGCGAAGTGGACAATACTGGCCGATTGCTGTCACCGCGCAGCGGAATCGCTGTTGTTGCGGCAAAGCTGCGCGCCCCGCATGGGATCCGACGGGGGGCGAAAAGGGTGCGTGATGGCGCTAGGCCGAGCGATGTCGACTGTGGCCGCATTGGACCGGTTTATGAATGCAAATATTAATGGAGCGGCTCGCAATGAACTCAAGCCTGGACACGATCAATAGCTCCCGATGTCCGAGATTCTTTCGATAAGTCCGGAACATTAATGATGCGGCCCTTATCTCTAACATGTTGATCGATGCCCCAATCGGGACCGTATTTAGGGCTTAGGGTCACAGAAGTATATATCGGGGTCCATCGTAGTGAAAAGATGCTGTGTTGGAATAATGCTGTATCTATTAGAAACGCACGATACCAAAATCCAGAGGCAATGGACTTTGAGGTATCACCTCATCCCACAAAAATCTGTACAAAGGCCTCGTTACTCCATCCGCTGTCCAACTTCATGGATTTCCATGCCGCCAATACATCAATTGCCAGCACATTACCATTCTCTCCACCCTGCTTCCACACTGTATTCTGAGGAATTGGCTGTCCCAGGATCATGATCATGAAATTTCGCGCAATGCTCCTGTCTCGAAGATCGGAGAAATAAATCCCCAGAGTTCCCAGCGCTTTCAGGCTGACATCGAGTCGTAAACGGCCGTTCTCAACAACAGATATATCCGAAGTCACTACAGCCGCTGCGCCAGTCATCTTTCCTAAAAGACCCAGCACAGCCACATGTGTCATACTATCGCCAGAGGGGTTGCCGCCATGACTTCCCGTTAGCGTGAACGACCGAGTCGGGCACGCAGTGAGAATCTCCCAGCCTTTTGATTCCAGAGCAACTGATACCAGGGAGTTGTGGGTTGATGGCCGCATGGGATGCGAGATCTTACCGCTGCTGTGTGCGCGCACGATATACTGGCCTTCGGAGTCCTCGTGGATTCCTGGGAAATCCATCAGTGAGACTATGATCGAGGCCTCAGCAGATTGAATATTGAAAAGGCCCATGATTCCACTTCCGGTCTTGGCCCAGCCGGTGTAGCTTCCAACACGCAGGACATGTCCTTCGTTATAGTCGTGGTATATGTCTATCGTGCGCCCGATGACGCTAGGACGCAAGATCACCGTACTCCCTTGCACTGTAGGTGCGGCCATCTGATCGAGCAGGGTCAAGTCATGATTACCCGGCTCGTCGGTGATATAGATCGGTCCCCCCGATACACATCGTGCTGCCGCGTGGAATGATGCGTATGCGTGACTTGTCTGGAACATATCCCAGTCGGGCAATACGTTCAAGTAGCGGGTGAATAGTGCATTATGGGCATTACAGAATACATGCCACGGGTGAGAGGCAACAATATCAGGAAAGAAGTCGTCGGAGTTTCGCAGTGGAACCGCCGGTTTGTTGGTGGGCATTTGTGAATGGAAGATTATTTGGGGGGTCATTGATCCGCAAGACATTGACCGAGTACTGAAGTGCTTGAGCGATGCGATAGACCATGCATCTTGATAAGAAGTCATAAATCGCCGGCGGTCCTCTGTGTCCTCAAGAAGATCGAGGAAGAATTGTGCATCCGTCTTGACTGAATCTATACCGACAGATGTAAGGTAGCTATAGAACTCATCGTAGAATCGTGTGATATCATCGGGATCAATGGCAAGAATTGTTCCGTCTGGAAGGTTCTCTGCAATGGGACCGTTGGCAGCGGGATCTTTGATCTTCACTTGCTTTGTCTTGAATCTTTGAGCCAGGTCCCCTTCTGGTGAGATACCTCCCCAATAGCCCAGCAAAGCATGCCAGACTGCAATATGTTCGATGTTGGGATGTGCTCGACGGATAGCCCCCACGGTATGTTTTAATCCTCTAGGAAATCCTTTTGAATGCGCCTCGAACTGCCTCCAGCCTTGCTTAAACTGAAACTCCCCCTCATTGTCGTTTGTCTGCCAACCATCATCGATAATAAGATTAGTGATGGTAATTCCATATGCCTTCAACGAGTCCAAGGCACGCAAGATCTTCTCTTCGGTGAGCTCCTGTCCCAATCCATTCCAAGTACAATATGTGAGGCCGTCAAACCACTCGGAGAACCACTGTGCACTTGGGTCATTCTCGACAAGGACGATATCATCCCCAGGAGGAGATAATGGGACTGGATCTTCTAAATCCCGATGGCTTGCATCAGCAAATGGTCTGACCACTTTCCGTGCCTCATAAACTACCGCAGACATGGCAACTTCAAAATTCTGCGCGGCGCTGACCAACACCTGGAACTTTGATGCTTCTGAATTGTCACCCTTTACGGAGAGCACAACCTCACCATTCTCACCTGACTGAAACACAGTCAAAACATCGTTGACTCCCGAAACAGCCAGTAGAACAAGATTCTCGCCATCTTCGCGCAGGAAAGAGCAAAGTATTGCATCTTCAGTAATTCGGAAGTTATCTTTGCCATGCCTAGGGCCCAGCCATGGGCTCCAAACACGAACCAATGAGAAATACCTCACCACCGATGAAGGGGTCCCAAGTGCAAGTCGTTTGATGATTGAAGATCCATCTTGGGCAGCATCTATATCACCAGACAGAGCCCAAAGAACTGACCCAGGAGCTTCAGTAAGCCGTGACTGGATCTGCAAGTCCTCATGGAGGTTATTGATGTACTTCTCGAGATGTTCTTTGGGGGCTGGTGTAGCAACTTCCGTGGATAGAACCCCGTTGAGACTAGAGTAGCGTGCGCTATATACAATTTCACCGTTGCTGACGTGGTGCCTTTCATTGGCCCATTGCCATTCCGTATCTGGACCAGTTCGAAACCGGACGGTAAACTGTGCATGACCTCCTGCGGCTGGCAGGGATACCTCCTCGGAGAATACATAGCGATTGTAGTGGTACTCGCTATCATTTCCAGTCAAAAGAGCTGCATGATCTGTGTTGCATCTCTGTAACGGCAGAGATCTCCATTCGGGACCAGTGATGTTATGCCAGATCTGTGCTTCCCATGATTGTGCGGGGAATGAGCTGCTAGACTCTATGGTAACTGTGAAACGCAGCTATTGGTGATATCAGTATGCCTTTGCATTGAAGTCACGATAAATGTAGGAAATTCTTGCTAGCGATGTCAAAATGATCATATTTGGGAGACTCACCGCATCTTCTTCAGACCGTGATGCCTTCTGCACCGGTTGGAGGCAAGTGATTTGTCCTAGCGGGGGATATGATGTCACTCGTGCAAACATGGCCATTTGAGCTGGGCGAACAAATGGTGCCAGTGGCTGTCGAGTACTTTGGCTACTCAGGAGTGGGAGGATTGAGGGGATATCTCTATTGTTGACCGGCATTGAAGAAAGGTACGGTGTTGAACCAGGTGTCCAGCGGCGGAAAATAACAAAATTTGTTTATGAAATGTCTCAAGGGTGACTATAGAAAACGTCTATGAGTGTAACAGAGAGAAGGAAGCTTACAGGTGGTTGGTTTTAACTCATGCAGGGGAAGTGGCGGGGAAGCCCTCAGTTGCCCAGTCTACCAACCAGAATGCTCACCTCACCTCAACTCTCAACCAACATAGTATTCTCGAATTATCAGATCTAATTTTGACATTATTGAAAACATACTTCCAAAAGATGCCTAGTAGAGATACTGGGATGATTTCAAGTATTGCAGGTCCCCACTATCAAACCCTTAAATTGTTCTTTATTTGAGATTTATAGATCGAAAGAATATGAAATAAGGGAAAGGAAAAGAGGGTATAACGCGGGCTCGACGGATCAAACCGGAACAGCTAAGTAGTGGAAGAGCTTTGGCACTTCCCTCGTAGTACACGCGTATCATGCTACGACTAGGCTCTTAGGTTACGCTTCGTTTTCTGTCGCACTTTCTAAGGTTTTCAGGTTCATTTGTACACGGTGCTCACATATTGTCATATACCCTAGCAAGGAGACATAGCCTGTTCTCATCTTTAGTTGATCTTGATGGTCAACTTTCCAAAGTGCTTCTGGGCCAACTGAATTCCAATCTGTTAGCATGCGAACGCTCCTCACTGATAGGAAACAACCTACCATGTAATCATATGCTTCCCGTGTCTGATCAAGGGTGAACACCTTGTCGTCCACCACAGGGTGGATATCATTGGCCTCAATGGCTCGGATCATATCCTTCATGAGAGCCTTGCTGCCAACATAAACACCACGCACGGTGCAGATGTGAGTCAATGACTCTAGAACAGTGGGCTGTGTCTTGGGGTCCACGCCTGAAAGAAATCCAATAACACTGATAATACCCTCGTACTTGATGCACTTAAAGCTCTCCTTGAGAGTTCCGCTACCACCCACTTCGATGATGTGGTCCACACCACTTCCGCCAGGAGTCAGCTTGCGAGCAACCTCACCCCAGTTGGGCTCAGTCTTATAATTGATGACGTGATCAGCACCGAGCTTCTTGAGCTTCTCGGCCTTCGCTGCAGAAGAAGTTGTAGCGATAACCGTTGCACCAGCAGCTTTAGCGAACTATAAACAAGCTATCTTAGCCGAGTCCATTTTGAGAAAGTTCAACTGAATCCGGTACTAACCTGCAAGCCAAACATGCTGACACCACCGGTTCCTTGCACGAGAACGATCTGGCCGGGCTTCAGAGGCTTCAGACCATATAGTGCATTCCAGCTGGTGAGCGCTGCGCATGGCAGAGTGCTGGTCTCGCGGGCATCGAGGTTACTGGGCGACTTCACAAGACCATTTTCATTGAAAACGCCATACTCGCGCAGGGTACCGTCGATCACACCACCTAGGCCAGTACCCGCGGAGTATGTGTCAATCTCGGCGTATTGGTGGCCCTGATTGAAGAGAGTCGCAACTGGATCACCCTTCTTGAATTCAACGACTTTAGATCCCACTTCGATGACTTCGCCCGCGCCATCAGAGCCTGGCACTACGGGAAGACTGAGAGGGAATGGATAGATGCCCTATGGGGAAGGTTAGAACTCGGTTACGGTCTTGCATGGACAACTCAATCAACGTTGTGAAGACATCTGCTTTTCTCAAGATCATACCTTTGGGATAGTGAGGTCACGGTAGTTCAGCGATGCAGCATGGAGCTTCACCAAAACTTCATTTTCGCCGACTTTCGGAACGGCGGCGTCCTTGTAAACAAGACCATCAAAGTCGTGCTCCTGATCTTGAACGACCCATTGCTTCATAGTGGAGGGAGGCATTTTATACGAAATGTCTAAGTGTACTTAAAAGCAGTAAACAATGTAAATGATTAGGCGTTGGGGGAGTCTATATAGTCGGAGTCTCTGACGTCGCCATGTCTGTTTTAAGCGAAAGATCCACCCAGTGTATGACGGAAGGATTATTAACAAGGCCCAATAAAACCTGCTACCTGAATAGGAAAATCATCGCGGGATTTTCTTTGCCAAATCTAGCTTCATGCGTATTGATCTTTCAGAGCGTAGTGCTATTGGTACGCGCGCAGGGCTATCTAACACGGATCCAGGTGATTGAACTCAGTCGGGGTATGGTGGGGTTTGAGGAAGAAGAAAAAGGAGAAGTCAGAGAAGACAATCATTCAAAGATAGGGAAAGGAGGCCAAGACAATGATTGCTCTTGGCTTTGGGAAGTGAAATATATATAGAAGAAATAGAAAAATATGGCTTTCAATATTAGAGAAGCATAAAAAGCATCGTATACATTCTTCACAGTATACACTATGCCTGAATACATTCAGGAAAATTATGAATCCTTTAGGGAAACTGGATCCACCTGCACAATAATTCGAACTCGAAAGAAACTAAAAATTGGTGCGCGTATACTCCTCAACGGTCAAAGTCCGGGGTCGCCGGCCCACATTCTTCAGCTATCCCAAAATCTTGACATTCAAGCTGCACTTAATCTCGGACTTATCAAACATCCTCTCAAATATCATTAAGCCATGCAGTCCGTGAAAGAAGGCCGAGTCACGAAATTAAAAGCCGAAAGACCGCGAACCACAACCCGACGCGTCTCGAGCAAAAGTGAGTAAATACCACTCTCGCAAGCCTGGTTCAACCTCAAAGCTTGATTTATTGTTTTGCTTGATTTGAATATATTCAATTAGTGACGCGTACTAATGATTGTTTAGTTCCACTGGTCGAACAGACCAACGCATTGATCATTGGCGATTTCATAGAGCAATACGTGACTCCACTCACGGAAACAGGAGAACCAGCTAGAAATGATGCGACGGATCAACCCCATCCATCCCAAGATCAGGCACAACAGGATTTGGCCCCCGCGCCGCGCGTGGACGTCTACTCAGCGGCAACAATATCCGCAGCTGACCTGGAAGCATGCTTGGATCTGATCGAGCAAACCTCAAGCGAAGCCTACAGCGCGTCGAGCGCAGGCTGGTCGCGCACCAAGAAGCGGAAAGAGATGAAGTTGCCCGACATGAAGTATTTGATTCTGCGGGGTACGCCGGATGAACCTAGTGATTCTAGCGGGCAAATTCCGAGAGAGAAACAGAGCGATATCGTCGACAACAATGCTCCGTCTTCACCGAAGGAAAGCGATGAGCCTGTTTCGTCATCTGATACTAGTTCTCGACATGTGCTGGGCTTTCTATCATTTATGGTTACCTACGAGGACGGGAAGGAGGTTATTTATTGCTACGAGATCCATTTGTCGCCGGCGGCCCGGGGGCGGGGCGTTGGGAGGTTGCTTATGGGTCAGATGGAGGGAATCGGTCGTGCTGTTGGCTTGGAGAAGTCTATGCTGACGGTTTTCAAGTCGAATAAGATTGCTCGGCAGTTCTATGAGCGGCTTGGATATGGGGTTGATGAGTACTCGCCCCGACCGCGCATGTTGCGCAATGGGACTATTAAGGATGTGGACTATCTGATCTTGTCGAAGAGGTTAAAATTGTAATAGCTGGATATCACTTTCTTAAGGGTTTCAATGCTAATAATTGATATGACAATAGTGATGTGCAAAAGTTAATATACATTACACCTGGCGCACCTCTACACCCACCTGTTCTGGGTGTTCTTGCTCCCACTCGTCTCTGAGAGCGGCGAAGACGGTGTCAGCTAGCAGGATGGAGAGACCCAAACTCCAGACCAGGGTAATGGCGTAGAAGAAATTGGCATTTCCGGATCCTGCGTAGATCCAAAGGTGGTAAAAGGCCGGGCCGAGGAGGCTGGAGTACAAGATTGCCGAGCCCGCAAAGAAGGTATAACGCATCACTGTGCCGAGTTAGTCAAGGTAATTCTGGGATATCCTCAATGTTCGGATATACTCACATGGGAAAAGGTGGCGATATAATGGCAGCAGCGCGAAAAACAGCGACGCGTCCGAGATGCTAGGGTATGGCTTGAAGATGGCGAAGACACCCAAGAGCGAGGTAATGACGAATAGGGGTTGGTTGCGGAAGCGAGCCGTGAGACCCCCAACGTAGCTGGCCAAGTGAAGCCAGAAAACGCCGAGGAAGAACTCTCGAAATGAGTCGAACATCTCAATGAAAAAGTACCACCACAGCCCCACGTTGGGGGTCAAGTCTGGAACCAAAAGATGGAAACCATACGTTGCCGAGATAAACTCCCAGAAGTTGCCAGTGATCAGACAGGAGAGACCAAGCAGGCCTGCCACGCTAGCCAGGAGTAGGGCAGCGTGTTGAACAATGAAAGATGCAACATTGGGTGGGTTTGGTCTCCCCGAGCGTTGGTCATAGCATAGCAGGACCAACGGGACAAAGAGTAACGCCGGGTATAGAGACAGATATGAAGCAAATCCCAGGGCTAACATCGCATTGATGCTATTTCCACCGACTGCATTGGAAACGGCGAAGAGGATTCCTGATGTTGTAAACACGCTCGTTGACCGCGCTAAACATGTCGCAATAGTAAAAGGATTGAACAAAAACCTATTGCCTGGTAAGTATGCAAATACACATGATTGAGGGGGCTAGAAGAAGCATACCATGCTGCAACGGACACCCCATCCCATCGGACATGTTTTCGGACCGCCGAGTGTAGTCTCGATTTGACCGATTGGCCCGACGTAGAGATGGTTACCAATGCGTTCGCGTTCAAGAGGTCGACAAGGAAGTAGAATATTGATGTTGGCAATAGGGAGTTGGTCGCATCCGGGAGTAGGGCGAACATAGGTAACAGGAGCGGTGCCTAGATCATTCGGATCGAATTGTCAATTTAAGGAACCGATTCGGAGGGACCTATCTCCACGAACCTGATGGAAGACGCCACCATCATAAGGCGACACATTTCTTGTGTACAAGAATAGACCCTCTTGCACTACAAATAATTAGTTTATAGAATGCGGAGTCAATGGTCGGAGACACGTACGGCGTTTGAAACTATTGACAGGTGTTGATACTTCGACTCTCCCCGTTAACAAGTCCGGCAATGAAGGAAAAAGACATGTAAGAAGTAGACGCAGCACAAAAGCCGCGCCGAACACAGCAATCCTCCGTCGGTCTACAGCCATGACGGGGTGATTGTTTTAGTTGTTGATTCCAGCTGGTCCATATGGACCCAACGGTCTCTCTCCGCCTTCGGGCACGGACCACCTTTGTTGCGGTAAGAAAAAAAAGTTATCGAGAAATTTTCTTCTTCTTATCAGCAGTCCGTTTAGATCTTTTGACAACCAATTTTCATCATGGGCAAAGTTAAGAAGAAGGGTGTGTTGAAATGAACCGAGGATTTCAATTGGATTTACTAACACTCCTTTTAGGTACCTCTGGCGCAGCCAAGAACTACATTACCAGAACTCAGGCCGTGCGCAAACTCCAGATCTCTTTGCCTGATTTCCGCCGACTATGCATCTTCAAGGGTAATTGCCTCTTCTATCGTTGTTCCATCAGAATCGCAAAACTAACATGATCTCCGATATCAGGTATCTATCCTCGCGAGCCCCGTAGTAAGAAGAAGGCCTCTAAGACGTCTACGCCCAACACCACCTTCTATTACACCAAGGACATCCAGTATCTGCTACACGAGCCCCTGCTCAACAAGTTCCGTGATCAGAAGTCACTCGCAAAGAAGATTGCCCGCTCCCTCGGCCGTGGAGAAGTCAGCGATGCCTCCCGTTTAGAAAAGAACAACTCCCCGAGACTCACCTTGGACCATGTCATTAAAGAGCGCTACCCGACCTTTATCGATGCCCTCCGTGATCTTGACGACGCACTGTCTCTTCTCTTCCTCTTCGCTACCCTTCCATCCACAGATCATGTTCCTTCTAAGACCGTTGCGCTCTGCCAGCGCCTTTGCCACGAGTTCCAGCACTACCTGATCATGACCAACTCTTTGCGCAGATCCTTCCTTTCCATTAAGGGCATCTACTACCAGGCCACGATTCAGGGCCAAGACATTATGTGGCTCGTGCCATACCGTTTCGTCCAGCGTGTCAATGGCGACGTCGATTACCGTATCATGGCTACCTTTGTCGAGTTTTACACCACCCTGTTGGGCTTCGTCAACTTCCGCCTGTACTCTTCGATTGGTTTGAGATACCCCCCTAAGTTCGATACCCGCAGCGACGAGAACGGTGCCGAGTTGGCGGCTTTCACTCTTGAGGGCCGGACAGTGGGCGAGGTGCCCAAGGCTCTCGAGGCCAGCAAGGCTCAGAGCAACGGCAACTCGAAAAAGGAAGTCTCCAAGGAACTTCAAGCCAAGGTTGATAAGGTGATCAAGAAGGCCGGTTTGGACCAGAGCACGGATGAGGAGATGGTCGACACTACGCCCGACGAGGCAACCGATGCCTTCGACCGCTTTGAACCCGCCGCTCCTGAAGCCGACACCCTCCCCCAGCCCGGAATGAGCGGCAACGAGGCCGGTGCACTTTTCGCCCCCTTCGTCTTCTACATTTCCCGTGAAGCGCCCAAGGCTCCCCTCGAGTTCATTCTGCGCTCATTCGGCTGCAAGCGCGTTGGATGGGCCTCCGTACTGGGTGATGGAGCCTTCACTCACGACGAGACCGACCCCCGTATCACTCACCAAATTGTCGATCGTCCCCAACTTCCCCAGGAGTCTCTTCCTGCCATCCCCGCTGCCGATGAGAGCGCCGTTCAGAAGGTCCAGCCTGGAAACCGCATCCCTGGTCGTACCTACATCCAGCCCCAGTGGGTTTGGGACTGCATTAACGAGGGTAAGCTCCTCCGAGCTGATCTCTACGCACCCGGTGCCACTCTCCCTCCCCACTTGAGCCCTTGGGTCAAGGCTACTCGCGGCGCTTACGACCCCCGCGCCTCCCTTGCCGACCAGGAGGAGGAAGATGAAGCCGAAATCGCCGCCGAGGCCTCTGACAGCGACGAGGAGATGGAGGACGAGCCCGTGGCCGAGGCTGCTACTGCCGAGGAATCCGAGGCTGCTACTGCCGAGGAATCCGAGGCTGAATCCGTTGACGGAGGCATGGATGTCGCCGGCACTGACGACGAGAGCGATGAGGAGTCCGAGGAGGAAGTCGAAGACTTCGGTGGCTTTGAGGAGGAAGCTGCATCCGAGTCCGAAGATGACGACGAGGCTGCTCGCACTCAGCACCAGAAGGAGCTCGAGGCCGAAGCCGCTGGTCTGCCTTTCACCTCTAACCCCGCCGCCGATGAAGCTGCCAAGAAGAGAGCCTCTAAGTCCAAGAAGGTGGCCGCCAAGAAGCGCTCCGAGGACGAGGAGCTCGAGAGACAGAAGATGATGATGAGCCGGAAGAAGCGCAAGCTGCTTGAGAAGATGATGTACTCGAACAAGAAGACCGCTGATGAGTCCGCTAAGCTCCGCTCCAAGAGACGTAAGCTTGAGAAGGGCGAGAAGGGTAAGAAGGACGACAAGAACTAAAGCTCGGGTCATTTGTGCATGTTAAATAGTGCTTTTTCCGGGCGTTGCGGTTTGGATATGTCCCATGTATAGGCACCTCAAAAATTTGTGAAGTTTTAATGCTAGCTATGGGCTAACATCCCAGTTATATGTATAACTTTTGCCCCTTGCCATATCGAGACCCTGTGTAGTTCAACTGAGTGACGTATCACCAGGTGTAGGAAATTATTGGCAACTCAATTGCAACAAATTGTAATCCTAGACTGTGAATAGCTCTCTCTTTGACATCGCCGTGCGCCTTCCTTACCTGAACAGCGTTTTGTGCACCCACGTGAACACGCGCAAGTCGAGTTTGAATGTTACATACTCTTGTCGGTCGTTTCGTGGGTCGCGATGCTGCCCAGAGGTATTGACCTAGCGCCCCAGAAGGTCAGCATAGTCCTCATTACATCTTTTGTATTTGTGATCCTTCTGTTTCGTCCACACATCACCGAGCACATCCCCTCATTGTGTCTGAGGAAAGATGGCCAATATTCCGCATCAGGACCTATCCCATATAATCCATATCCCGAACATCGAGGAATTGGGAGGCCGTCAACTGGGTTGACTTACAACGGGCTTGATTAGAACGCAACCACGAAAGATACAACATTTTGAATCTCGAGCCAAAGAGATACACACTATACAAACCCCAAAGACAACAAGTAGAACACCAAGGGAAGAAAAATTATTATCGGAAGACTTGTCTACCTCATTTCTACCCAAGAACAGCTGTTATTCTATGCTCAACGATTGACATGAAGTACACAACAGATGATATCCACGACATCCGTGCCATGGTCATGGAACTCTCTCTTTTTTCGGGTGCAGAGTACGAGGTGATCCTCCTAATCGACGCGAAGGACGGGATATTACCCGACCTCATGGACAATGTTGCTATGCACAGTCTCAAAGAGTATCTCCCAGAAGAGTTTCGGGGGCTTGCGATATTTTTCAACACGAAGCTCCTCCAGGACTGGTATCCGACCATTGACGTCCATGAGGAGGGTTTATTCGGTTATCATATGCACGGCCATGCTCACCATTAAATAGAGTAATGTACCAGTTCTTCCAGCCAGTGCAGATCTTCTCAAAGTTTCATCAACAATACGACTTTATCTGGCAATTTGAGATGGATGCCCGATATACTGGACATCTGTATCATTTGTTAGAGCAAGCAACGGCATTCGCGAAACAACAGCCCCAGAAATACCTCTGGGAGCGCAACTCTTACTTCTACATCCCCGCTGTCCATGGTACATGGGAAGAGTTTAACAACATGGTAGATCGATGTATGGTGGATCGTCCAACCGTCTGGGGTCCAGTGCCAGTGGAGGGTCTAAATGTCTCAAAGGAGGCGCATTCCCTACCACCCATACCGACAGCAGAGATAGACACATCGAGCTGGGGTATTGGAGAGGAAGCAGATGTTATTACCTGGCTTCCACAGTTCAACCCGGTGAACACGGGCTGGCCAATGCGTGATGTGATATACGGGTTCACCGAAGGACCAGCCATCTCACGTCGGTCTTCCTCCGTTGCCATGTCTCGACTTTCAGCACGCGTGCTCCGTATCATGCACACTGATCTTGCTGAAAAGGGCCTGGATCTAGGTTCAGAGATGTCCCCACCCTCCTGGGCTCTGGTACTATGGTTTAAAGTCGGTTCAGATTCCCCAGCCAGTGTACCATGCACAAGAATGGGACCCTCGGGAGTTGAACCACCGTGCAAATTCGGGCGATCCTGGTGTTACCAGTGCTGGGGGTGACAGTATCTGGACATGGGATATGCATCACGATATTCTGAAAAATACGACCTACATGTTCGATTCGGAGTATTCTGGGAGGCTCTATCGAGCTTGGTTGGGGAGTGGTGGTGCAGATGAGGTAAGATTGCGTTGGTTTTGACTGCAATCCTGGCTAACAACTGGCAGTGGAAGAGATTCATTCGATCGGTCTGTTTACCACTCATGTTGTTGGATCCTTGAAGCGTACGATGACGTAGATTATTGACAGTAAAATGGGCTGGCGATCGTTGATTTCTGTGGAATATCTTAGTGATATTTGATCTTAATCCCCGAGAAAGGTTATCTTGCCTATGTCTTCGAATAATATATCCCTCTTCACACCCAACATCTTATAGATCCTTTTGATCCTAGTGTGCACCATATAGGGCTGCTTCGGCCCCTAAGACCAGTGTTCGGCGCGCCCCGTCCGGGGGAGTCTTATTGGTGAGTCATCCCTCGGCTCACATCCGAGATTTCACCCCTTCAAGGGACGTATAATTGCTGATGCTTCCTTGGAACATGTCAAGTATTAACTTGCACATAGCAAGCAGGATCATACACAAGCTATAAACGAAGTAGTCACCAACAATGTCGTCAAACAAACAAGTTGTGGGATGGATAGGTACGGCAGCGAAGAACAATCTGATTGGGCTGTTCTAATTCCTTCTAGGACTCGGGAGTATGGGACTTGCAATGGCGCAAAATGTCCAAAGATGTCTCCAAAAGGACAAATCTCAATTAAGATTCTGGAATCGGACGGCGTCTCGCGGCGCGCCACTTGAATTCCTTGGCGGTATTGGATGCGAGTCTATCGCCCAGCTTGTCACTGAATGTGACCTGATATTCATATCTGTGAGTATATGAGTTGGGATTTGGTTTCACTGAGACCTTTACGGACTCTCCGTATCAGGAATGAGCCTTTTTCACTGACATTACGCAGACCAGTGATGATGCGGCTTTGAATAGCATAGTTGACCAAATATTGGCTGTCAAGGATATTAATGGCAAGTCGTTTGCGGATACTACCACCGTGCATCCTAATACGACAAAGGAGACAAATGAAAAACTCAAGAAAAGGAATGCGTCCTTCGTTGCTGGTAAGTGAATTTAGATCGGTCATGATTTGCAGATTCTCACGTACTACATTAGCACCTGTCTTCGGGGCTACCCCAGCTGCGCAAAGTGGTACGGTGTTGATGGCCATGGCTGGTTCAAGCCAAGCGATTGATAAAGTTACACCTTTCGTAAAAGGTGTCATTGCTCGGGACGTGATGATTGTGTCGGATCAGCCCGAGAAGGCCACTCTGCTCAAAACTCTGGGGTGAGAATGCGACTAATATTACTGTGCCATACGGTCCCACTGACACTATCTAGTAATTTTATCGTCGCAGGAGCAATGGAGGTTGTAGGAGAAGCCCATGTGCTAGCGGAGAAAAGCGACCTTGGCACAGATATGCTTGAAAAGTTGCTTGAACTGAATTTTGGAATGATGTATTCCAGCTCCAGGCGCATGACGCAAGGTGCTTACATGCCAGAGGAAGGTATGAATATAATATCAATTGAGGATCCGCCCGTTCTTCTTTCTGTTGCTGATCATATTGTCTAGGTCAATCCCCTCCGTCCAGTCTGAATCTCGGTATCAAAGACGTTCAGCATGGCATCAGTTGCGCCAAAGATGTTGGCGCGAGATTAAAGGTCGCCGAGGTGGCACTGGAAAATATGGTACGGGCGAAGGATTTTTCAGATGCGCATGGCGGCCGGCCTTTGGATTCATCGTCTGGGTACGGTATCATCCGTCAAGATGCTGGTCTTGAATTTGAGAATACCTTTGTGAAGGAACGAGATACCAGGAAGGAAGATGGTTCTTCTTGATAGTATATTTCCACGGCTTACGAAAGCTCTCGGGATCACTTGCCAAGGTTGGTGTTTTGGATCGATTATTTTACCATCTGTACATTCTTGTTTCATTCAATGCTAGATCCACAAAAGAAACTGGCCCGTGGAGTATCCTCTTATTGGTCACATTCGCCATTCGGACAAGTTCCGGTCCCAAGTCCGAGTATACTTAGCTGCGGCTGATATTTCCCAAGGTAGAAGAGAGGTCCGATTAAGCCCCCAAGGTCGGATATAAGCTTCGGGGCCCTATACTTGTACCATTCAATTTCAGAGAATGAAAATATTCAGGTTCATCGTTCCCTTCGCTTTGATCACTCTATTATACCTCTCTACTCGGCCACAAACCCACTGTCCAACCGTCACCGAAATGTCTTTCCGGTTACATCTCATCCGACACGCAGAGGGAACCCATAATCCCGGCCATAATATGACTATCCATGACCCGCCATTGACAGAAAAGGGGGTTGAACAATGCCTAAAGCTCTGTCAAGACTTTCCATTCAAAGAGAGTGTTGGCCTTGTGATGACATCTCCACTCCGACGCACTCTTCAAACAGCCCGTCTGGGCTTCCAGCAAACCATCGATGAGAAGTATTACGCCCAAGGCTCCAGGGCCGGGGTTCAAAACGGGGCACTTCTTTTGTTAGAACCAGATGTGCAGGCACACTCTGCTCGGCCGTGTGATACTGGCTCAGACATCGCTATTTTACGTTCGGAGTTTTACGATCTCCCCTGGGAAATTTTAGATATGGACCCCGCGTTCCCAGCAAAGAAAGGTCTTTATGCCTGTGATTCAGAGCACTTGAAGCTCCGCGCTGCACGGATCCAGCGTCGATTGGAGCAGAAATTCAACGAACTAAAGGACGGCGGAAGGCCTGACATTGTCGTTGTTACACATGGCGGATTTTTGAGCTCTGTCATCGGTCAAGAGAGAACAGAAGTTGGACAGGCGAAATGGAAGAGTTTCATGGTGTCATTCGATAAGGACTCGAGAATTGTTGTGGAATCAGCTTTGGAATAATGCCCAAGACTTTGATTCGCGAGTTCACCGTTGCCAATTGTAATAGATCAAATAGAGGGAAGCTGCGCTTTGCTGTTGTTATCTCCTACTTTGCTTTGCCTGTCATGTTTCGCATTTTCTAGCATGAGATGGAATCTACCCACCTAGAAATGGCGTAATAAATGGCTTACGTCCGCATCAGCATCTAGTGTCGATCTGCGACTCCACATTTATAGAAGTTCTAAGGTTGCCGGAGATGTGGGGATTTAAATGGATTGTCTTGGCAATAGTCGATCTAGAGTTGTTAGATCTTTTGCAGCCTCAGCCGCGCCTGGCACCTGGGCAATCTGTAAGTGTAAGAAAACTTAGATCGAGGTCGGCGTGAATATATATATTTCTACATCAATATTGGGACATAACAGATGAATATCCTTTGGTTGTACTGCATGTAATAATAGTGTGAGCTGGGCTGATCTGGTGGATTGCTGACTCCGATTGGGCGTGTCTCACAGTGTCCAAGGTACCTTGTAGCCTGTGTAGTTAGTATCTCACGTCAGTAGGTATTGGCTTGGAACATAGAACCATATAATATATAATCCGGTGTGGAAGCTCTGTCTGAAATATGATTCCTTTTTTGATTATTTGATGGCTTCTGTGCCCTTACCGTGGCAAAGTGATGACATGGTTAGGGTTACGGGAAATATGCAGCGTTTGCCCCTGTTTAGACACAATTCCGGACTGATCTCACTCTTCTGGTCAAATTAGTAAAGTACTTTATCTACGATTCGTCAGAAAGTGCTTTGTGAAAACTGCCTAGAGTTCTGTTACGCAGAAACACTGATTCAGCTGCCCGGTTGTACCATTGATAATATCCATGCACATGCCAATACCTTGTGGTGACTATCATATAGACGTCTGCCAAACCTCTATTCGAGGAACCAAGGTATTATTGAGCGAGTCAAGAACGACGTGGACCTCATTGAAAACACAGGATGCTAATTGATAGATAACGCTGGTCCCGACGGGTTCCACTAGAAGATTGTCAAAATATTTATTATGAATAAATTATACCTGTAGGCAAAAGATTCGATAGGGCGCCCGAGTGAACCTCAAACCTATGGCTATAAGACGGTATGAAGGTAGCACCTTCCAGGTTTCTATCTCCGCATGACACACTGTATTCTATGTAGGTATTCCTGTTGATGACAACTCTTTTTCAATCGGAAGATCCCTGGAGATTCCTTCGTTTACCCGAGGCTCTTGTTTTCTAAAGTTGTCAACGTCATTTGAAATGCATTTGAGCATTGCTACTGTAGTGGGCCTCGCCATCGCCCCTGCGTTAGCAAACTGCCCTTATGCCCGAGATGCGAGTATCGAGGCTGACAGCCGCGCTAACCATGTTCAATTACCTTGCGACACTATTCTAAGAAAGTCAACCACAAGTGTCGCGTCTCATACTCCCTCCGCAGCGGCTGGAAAAAAGGGCCTTCTGTTGATGAACCGCATTGCCCCCGGCACCTCAGAACTATATATCGCCAACGCTGACGGCACCAGCGAGCGTTCTCTATTGAAGGATCCCAGTTATGAATACCACGCCGACTTCTCTCCCGACGGTGAATGGATTGCCTTCACCAGTGAGCGTAACGGTGATGGAAACTCCGATATCTGGCGTGTGCGCCCAGATGGCTCCGATCTACAGCCGATTGTGACATCTCCAGCAGCGGAAGACAGCGTTATAATCTCACCCAATGGAACGTTGGCAGCATATGTTTCAACAGCCAATAACCACAACGCTAACATTTGGGTCAAGGACCTGGAGACCGGTGCCGAGTGGAACGTCACCGATATCCCGCATAATCGAGGAGATGAGGACATGATGCATGGTCACTTCCGTCCAGCTTGGTCACCAGACGGAGATTGGCTTGCGTTTTCTTCAGATCGCAACACAATATGGGATGGTCACGGAAATCAAACCTTCCTCGGACTCTCTGGCTGGGAGCACACCCAAGAACTCGGTATTTATGTTATTCGTCCTGATGGCTCAGATCTTCGTCGTGTCATCCACCGTACTGGCCACTGCCTTGGGTCTCCCAAGTGGTCACCTGATGGCACGCGTCTCATATTTTACGAAATGACTCGTGATGCGACATGGGATGCACATCGACCTGAGCTTGTAGGAGCTGCAAACTCCACAATAGTGTCTATTGGAATCAATGGCACTGACCGTCGCACGGAGGTTGGTGGTCCTGGTGTGAAGACTTTTCCTCAATACATCACGAACTCCACCATTGGGTACCATCTGAAGGGCGGCAATAAGGAGGGCTTATATCTCACAAACGGTACCTACTTTAATACCACTATTCGCTCTCCGTCATGGTCACGCGATGGAAAGTACGTGGTTTACGAGAAGGCCGGTTGGTCTATCCGCCCTCTTTTTAAGGAGCTTTACGGTTGGGACAGGGATTGGGACTATCGCTTCACTGATGTATTCCCCCAGATCTCGTCAAATGATCGCGTGGCTGTGACTGAAAAGCAACTTGGGAACTGCTCCATTTCCACTTTTGACGTGGCGGGTGGTCAGCTCTCTTTGGTCTACAAGCCCGATAATAGCACTCTCCTAGACACTACACTGATCCCCGAAGGCTTGGCTGGGGCTTTCAATCCTAGCTGGTCTCCAGACAGCGAGTGGATTGCCTTCGGGGTTGGCGCTTGGTTTGAAGCGCGTGATTGGCGAGGAGCCTGGATTGTACGTTCCACCGCAAACGGCACCTACAGTGAGGTACTCACCACGAGCAACCTCTATCTCAATAATACCAAGGATTTGAACACCGGGTTTCCCAGCTTCTCTCCCGATGGAAAAAAGATCGTCTACCGCGTGTGGGGTGCTGACACTGCCAAGTACGGCGACGAGGCAGATATTGGTTTGCGCATTATCGACATTGAGACTAGAAAGATCACTCAGCTTACCAGTGGCTGGGACAACCTTCCCACTTTCTCGCCTGATGGAGAATTTATCCTCTTTACCCGCAAGGTCTCTCCGACTAACTACGACATCTGCATGATCCACCCTGACGGCACTGATCTTCGCATTCTGACTTCCAGCAGCGCCAATGATGCCCACGCAGTTTGGCGCCAGGATGGAAAAATTATGTGGTCCTCCGGCATGTATGGGTTCCAGTATGAGTGTCCTTTGTACGACGAGACCTTTCAGCCCTACGGTCAAATCATGATCATGGACTCTGATGGATCTAACAAGCGCCCTTTGACCAACTCCATTTGGGAAGATTCTATGCCTCTCTTTATCCCTAACGATTGGTTCTAAATGCGGCTTGAAAATATAGAAGAAGGGTGGCTTCGCTTTGCTTTATGACAATTGACCTTGTCACTTTCATTCGTTCTGGATAATTAGATAGAGTCCTCTGTCTATATTACTATGAAGATGATATCATTACTTTCTTTATAATACACGTTTCTCTGCCAATATCTCGCACACATGTGGAAGTTCCGATCTCAACTATACAAGTTCCATCGGACGAAATATAGATTAAAGTTGGGAGAATTCCATGAATTGATTGGTCCTTGGAGTTGTGGGGACCCTAATCCCCAACGAGAAGCTAACCCCGAGGGTGACAAGCAGACCATCCGGATACATCATTTGCAGCGGTCTACTTAGTTATACAAACTAGTCTGGATCTCTGTTTTCATCGGAGTTATCTCTAACTGGTCAACCTCTGTTGTCCAATTTCCGGCTACCTCCCTCACCACCGAAACAGTGGTAGCATACACCACAGTCTGCTCTGCTCCCGAAACCGTACAGTTAATGCAGGCTACCGTAACAATATCCAGCATCTGTAGCACCCGGACAGCCTGTCCTGACTATCAACTGTGCCGTGCATTGCCTTACAGGACGACTCAACGTCTCACCGAGACCCTGCTTGTATCTACGACAGCTTCTATTGTTGCAGTCCGACGTCTGGTTTTTAACCCATAGCTATCAACAATAAGGACTCTATGGTGTACCTCGGACGCTAAGATTCAATCATAGTGATAGAAATAATAGAGGTTAGGTTAAAACTTATATACTGCCCCTTTGGGACTAGCGTAACTGTTCTGGGATCGTGTATATCGACCACGTGACTGCATCGGTGATCCACCCGCCTGGAATTTTCGACATCTTCAACACCCAGGAACAATCAAAGTCAGACAAGAAAGTCAAAATTCACCATTTAAAATATCGGTCACCGGGAGTTCTGACACTGGGTGTTATCTTGGCCTTCAAGTCGGATGTTGCCCAATAAAAATCCGCATCTATGTGATATCTAGGCACTACAGGTCCAACCCTTTTGCACATACAACGGCAAGAGACCAAAGTTTCTTCCCGACATGTCATCTTTGTATGGAAGTCAGGTACCTTGGCCAGAACTTCCTCCGCCGCAATCTGCACAGCCACGCCAATCATTATTTGGAGGCCCAAGCAGTGATGTCAGTTTGCAACCTTCTTCTCAGCCAGAACCGCCAAGAAGTTCTCTTTTTGGAGGCCCCATCAAGGAAGATAATTATTCAGAGCCTCTGTCCGAAACAGATCCTATGGACGAGGCGCTTGAGCAAGGCGAAAGTGAATTTGACATGATAATGCGAGAGCAGCCCTTGGAGTTCCAAGATGACTCTGATGACGAAAGCTACGAGGAAAATAATCGTGGGAGAAGTCGCAGGCGGACAAAAAAGACACAGCAGTCTCAGAATGACCCAATTTACTACGTAGTTGACCGAGGTCTTGACCTGCGACCTGGGGTTGAGCGTCCCAATCTATTTGATGGGCATGCCACTTCATGGAGGAACTACAACGCCGACGATATTGGAGCCTATAATGCAATGATCATTCACCGAAGCAGAGATTTGGCGGCTCACCTTTACAATGCCCACGCGATTCGCAGGCGAGCCCGGGACACTGCGCGGAAGAACCCTGGAGTCGTTGAAAAAACACCACTCCATATGAACAAGCGATGGGCTGCATGGCCTGTCCATGCAACAACAGTTCCCCGTGCCAACGAGGTCATCCAGAGGATAATGGATGACCCTGATAGGTACCAAATGCAACCTGATTCCCTACCTAGTACGGAATTAGAGGAATGCCTCACAGCGTTCATACTGAAGGTCTCCAAGGAGACCTTCCAAGCCCGAGAGTTGAATTTTGAAGAAATTGAAAATCACTCTGCGAATAAGCGGGACGACGAGGATGAACTGATGCAAGATGAATTGGAGAAAAAGGAGGAAGAAGAAGAAGAAGAGCCTGTCGATACAAGAATCCTCAGACCCACAGTCCTACTTGACGAAGACAACTCTCTTCGTCAATTACGTCCAGTGGTCCGCAATGTGATCTCACAGGTAGACCGGCTGCTGTACGGGCTTCATTGTGCTATGAAGGGCCGCAAGTATGAGGAAGACTCTGCTGATGAGCAATGGACTGATTCGGACGAAGAAGAGCACCAGACTCGAGAGAGCCGCAACGGCAGAAGCAGAAGTCGATCGCGTGGTCGGAGAAGTGTTCGACAGTCTCAGGAGCGTGAAACATCACGCCGTTCCAACACTGCACACATATCTACTGGACTGGAGACCGGAGATGAAATTTTGCCAGAAGGTTCCCAAACTCGAGCGCAATCTCGCAACTCCGCTACTGGTGATGACGATCATAACGCCAAGGGCCGACTCAAATTGCGAGACTGGAGTGAAGTTCTGGGACTGGCATCAATGATGGACCTCCCCGCGGCCGCGGTAATGCGCGCGTCAAAGCGATGCGCCGACCTGTTCGGCGAAGATATGGAATTCCGAATAATGCCCGAAGGAAGGGTCAGAAAGAAGAGAAAGGCAAATGATCGAGAGGAATATGCCTACACCTCAAATGAGAGCGATAGTGACTCAGCGCCACCAAGCCCTCAGCCAGCACCCCTACCGATTCGCAAGCGCAAAACCAAACCCAACTCCAAAGCTAAGGTCGAAGTTGAACCAAAGACCAAACCAAAGGTGAAGATACCAGGCCAGCGACACTCGAAGGCATACAAGACTCCTACATTCGTTCCTCCCTCCGCATCCCCATCCCCAGTCCCGGAGGCGCCGCCAGAACCCACTGCAGTGGAACCTGCTGTAGAGATAACAGAGCAGGCCGTCGATCAGGAGCCAAAACCGATTAAACCAGGCGTTGGAAAGGGTCCTCATCGGAAAGTGGACATTGTCTGCCCTGTTAGATCTTGCATTCGACACAAGAATGGGTTTTCACGAAAATGGAACCTTAACCAACATTTGAAGAAGGCTCATGGTATACATGTTACTCCTGGGAATGAAACCTCGACTGAGCGGGATGATCAGACTATCATGATCGAATAGGTTATGTACTTTGCCTTTGTCTAGCTTAGTCGCGAATGTGAACTCGAAAGTACATAATCTGTGTGGACTAGTTACGGACGCCTTGGTCAAGGCAATAGTCCGGCGCTTATGCGGCCTTGTGGTGTGTTTGTAGCAGTCTTTCTGGTAGTTTTCTCGGTATCAAATTAGGAAGAAAAAGGATATGCGAGAGAAAGACATAAGCAAATATCTGAGAAGGCCACGCTGAAACACCAAAAATACTACAAAGACCTCATCTGGTAGGAACTACCCAATCAGAATTAGGTCCGGAGCATATATTATCTCCTCTATCGTGTTCAATTTGCTTTTCTTTTGTAAAGATCCTCCTCTCCGATGGTCGGTGATTTGTGGGGGGAATATTGAAGATAGCTTGGGGTGAGCTTGGGGTATTACAAATACACTATCTCAAGGCCGGAGCTCCAAAATTGGTGTTGATTGGCTATCTAGCCCGAATACACGAACATTGGGATTTTAATTGGTCTGAACAGCCGCGTATTGTAACATTTATTTTAGGATTACGAGAATTACCAGATCTATGAAATGAAGCATTTTCTATCGTTTTCTATAGAAAGAGATTGCGCTATTCTTTTCTATTTCAGTTGGTTTTTTCCTCCAATACGAGTCAGAAAAGGACATTCAAATACATATGTAGAACGTATAAAAAGAAAAGACAAAAGACAAAAGAAAACAATCCTGATGACATCAACTCCGCAGATCCCCGCTTTAAGCATAGAGCTTCCCTTCTGAGATCTCATCTCATTAGCATTGCCATTACTCACATCCTCGGTGCTTTTCGGTCAAAAAGAGCAAATCACCATTAAGCCCAGACCCCCACTGAACTGCTTTAAAGGCTCAACCCTCCTCCCCGCAATATTTTCTGTATCTCCCCCTCACCTTGATCTCTCACAATGGACCGCATCATTCGCCCTGTCGCCCGCCAATTATTAAGACCTCGACCAAGATACCCCTTTTCAATTCCCCCGACAGCTCGCGTACAGAGACTATACAGCATCAAACACAGCGCGCCGCAGGTAAATTCCGCAATCGAATGTGATTTTCTGGTTTATACTAACCGATTACAGTTGAAAGACCAGTCGCTGTTCATTGAGAAGGCGTACATTAATGGCGAATGGGTCGATGCAAAGTCTGGCGAGACTTTCGAAGTCCATGGTAAATACTACATTCAATACTAGGGTTCGGAGGAGTGGCTGACTTTTTTTTGTCTCGTGCAGACCCGGCTACTGGCAAATTGATCGGAACATGCCCCGAACTCGATACATCCGACGTTGAGAAGGCGATTGAGGCCGCCTCAGAAGCCTTCCCCAAATTTCGCACAACATTAGGCCGCGAGCGCGCGCGCATGTTGCGGCGCTGGTACGATTTAATGATGGAGAACGCGGATGATCTAGCCAAGTTGATTACATGGGAGAACGGAAAGCCCTTTGCAGACGCGAAGGGCGAGGTCAACTACGCCGCCAGCTTCTTCGAGTGGTTCAGTGAGGAGGCCCCCCGCACATACGGCGACACCATCCCCGCCACAGTTCCCGGAAACCGGGTTATGACTCTTAAGGAGCCCGTTGGTGTGTGCGGTCTAATTACGCCATGGAACTTCCCCGCGGCGATGATTACACGAAAGATTGGCCCTGCCCTGGCGGCGGGCTGCACAGTCGTGGCCAAGTCTCCCCAGGAGACACCCTTCACAGCGAACGCAATTGCTGAGCTTGCGCGCCGCGCTGGAATTCCCAAGGGCGTTGTCAACATTGTTACCTCCTCGAAGCACACCCCTGCAGTGGGCGAGCTCATTACCACCCACCCCGAGGTGCGCAAGGTGTCCTTTACCGGCTCCACTAACGTCGGCCGCATCCTCATGAAGCAGTCTGCCTCGACACTCAAGAAGGTCTCCTGGGAGCTCGGCGGTAATGCGCCATTCATCGTGTTCGATGACGTCGAGGACCTCGATGCTGCCGTGCTTGGCGCCATTAACTCCAAGTTCCGCAGCTCTGGTCAGACCTGTGTGTGCGCCAACCGGATCTACGTCCAAGAGGGCGTGTATGAGGAGTTTACCAAGCGCTTTGTCCAGAAGGTCAAGGACTTCAAGCTCGGTGGTGGTTTCGAGGACGGTATCACCCACGGACCTGTCATTCACGAGCGCGCCGCCAACAAGGCCCACGAGCATGTGCAGGATGCTACTTCCAAGGGCGCCGAGATTGCCATCGGTGGACAGCGGGCTACCGCGCTCGGACCTAACTTCTACCACCCCACTGTCCTTACCGGCATGAGCAAGGATATGCTTCTTGCTTCCGAGGAGACTTTCGGCCCCGTGGCTGGTCTCTTCCCTTTCAAGACGGAGAAGGAGGTTGTTGACCTGGCTAACCATGCCGAGGTTGGTCTCGCTGGTTACTTCTTCAGTGGTAATGTTCGCCGCATCTTCCGTGTTGCTGAGGCCCTGGAGGTTGGCATGGTTGGTGTCAACACTGGTTTGATTAGTGATGTTGCCTCTCCGTAAGTTTACATCTCCCTACATTGGTATCTCAAGCTCTAACCTTTCTATAGATTTGGTGGTGTCAAGCAGAGTGGCTTCGGCCGGGAGGGCAGCAAGTATGGTATTGACGAGTTCATGACTATCAAGAGTATTACTTTCGGTGGCATGGGTGCACCTCTACAGGAGTAAAAAAAGAAATTGAACAATGATCTAGATCCAAACTATATATTATTTCCTTTTTTTTTTTCAAAATAAAAACCCACCACGCATTTATACGTTTTGAATGATCCCATCTCTCATTATTTACTTACAGACTAAGCAGATTATCTGTCAGACATCAGGGTACAATACCCTGCTTCTTCTTAGATTGAATAACATTGATTCTTCTTTCTCTTCCTCGGTTCATCACATTTAGTAGGACATCACCTGACTGCGTTGAACACAAGGTTGGCGGCAGAAATATCCACTGCCCCACCGCCTTCTGTATCCCTTCTCCTACGAGCTAATCGGCAACTCGATCATCAGAAAGAAAAACTTTATAACGCGTTTAATCCTCTGCTTCATACATAAGGCCGCGGTTTGATTTGCTTCAATGCGTCCCTCACCCCGTTTCCTCGCCGCGGTCTCGCGCAGCCAGCCCTCCAAGCTGAAGAAGCCATCCATCAGTCTAGACCATGTAAGTAATTCAAGTTTGGTTTGAAGTATATGTACTAATTGAACAATCTAGTTTATTCAACGACAGCGGGTTCTGTCGTTATGGCGGGAAATTGTGCGAGCATTAATAAGTACGCTCACCATCCCAATTTCCGGGCCATGTATGACAACTAACAGACATGTTCAGAGGTCCCTCCTTCGCCCACACGGACTGAGTTGCACAGATATGCACGTGAGGAGTTTGAGCGCCATCGTGAAGTATCGGATGTGGTAGGTTGCTATTCTGAGTTCTATTGGATGAACATATGTTTGAGATTAGTGGACTAACTTGATTTTGTTCTGTAGCAACACATAAGATATTTGCTTTCGGTATGAAGATTTTATATTGTGTAACGTTTGGATTGCTAACGAACTCCTAGACAGGCAAATCAGAATTCGAGACGATGAGACGCTATATCGATGAACAAATTGCTGGCTGAGCTGTGTAGATAGGCATTTATGTAAATATATTTTGTGTGTATTGTATCGGATGATTCAAAAGTGTGTAAGGTCTTGAGGGGAAGAAACCGTTGACATGGGGTTAACCTCCATACTATTGCACTGTAATACGAACGGTGCCTGAGGTTTTCTCGAAGAAACCCCGATTTCAGGGAACATGTTGGGGTTGCAAATTCGAAGCTAGTGTCCAATGAGATATAAGCCTTCAGACATAGCCAATCGACGAACAAAGCGAGAATTTTTTTTTTGTAGAGACCTTGGAAGCTTCCACTACGGGATGGAAGCCAAGTTCCTCGGTGGCGTAGGGGATTCTCGTATCTCCACAAGACATGCTACAGTATAGTCTCTCCGAATCCGTCGCAAGCAAAGTCCCAGTCCGTTCGAAGACATTGTATTTTACTCTGTACCTCTTATTGTTCATGGTCTAGATACTACGAGGTAAATATATGATGTCAGACTCATCTTAAATTTTTGCGTTCGATCTGGATCTACAAGATAGAATCAATTGCCACGTCTCCGCACTCTAAATATCTTCTAGCATCTGTGTGAAATTAATAGGAACTAGAGGCATCATTGGATGATTAGACAATAAAACCGGAAACAGCTGCCAGGTTGCAGCTGTTTCGAAGCTTGCTTTTCTTTTCAGTCCTTGTCCGGATCCTTGAAGTAGTACGTCATTGATTTTGGTCCAGACTCTTTTATATTGTGCGCTGATAGCTTCATATATTAAGGGAAATCTCTAGATTTTGAAATTCCTCTGGTCATTGACTGAGAAAAAAAAGTTAAAAAAAAACCCCCCTTCTATACTCCAAATTTATTTCTATTACTCTGTCACCTCCAAATACCTTCAATACCTCCATAGGTAGCGTGGCCAAAAATAAAACCATGAAATCCGTATCACCCACCTCACCCGGGCGGGCAAAGCACCTCGAACGCAACCGCATCGCCGCCAACAAATGCCGCGAAAGAAAGAAGAAAGAACACAAACAAATCGAGCGACGCCTCAGCGACGAAACCGAAAAGAAAGATCTCCTCCTAGCACAGTTGAACTGTCTACGAGAAGAAGTTTGGGATTTGAAAAACCTCATCTTCCAACACGCCGAGTGCCAAGACCACCAAATCAACCACCAGCTCGCCAAGATGACCGACACTGTCCTGCATAATAATCCCAACCTGGAAGTCAACCCTAACCTGCCGACAAGCTCATCTCCATTTTCGACTGGGACGTGGACCGACGAGTCGGGCGCAGATGATGCCAACCCCGGATCGGGCGCATGCGATCCCAACACATACAATCGCAACGATTGGACGGTGTTGCCTGCGATCGCGAACGATTTCACCCCTTATGAACCGAATGGTTTTACGGATTCGCTGTTTGAAAATTTTATCGATGCGGATAATGTGTATACCTAAGGACTGACCTTGGGATGTTCTTTTAGCGGGGCATGACAAGTTGTATATTAATCTAACCGCAAGCTCGGACCAAAACTAATAGTTACGAATCAACGAATATACGAATTTACCTATTGACATGCTAAACATTCTAGAGATGAGACTTATGCCTGGGACAAATCGTAGAATGTCCCCCTGAAGCGCTCGAAACCCTCGAATATGAAGACTATCTCATACTCGGGGGTCACATGGGTTAGACACGCAATCTTGCAAGAGAAAATATGTGGAACGTGCAAGAGTCTTCCCCTACGGTCTGTGCTGGACTGGATATGTGGAGATCCACAAAGCCTCTGATGTCATCATCGTGAACTATCGGTATATATTATTTCTTCTCCAGGACTATATCATATGAATTTGATTTTCTTCAAGTCTACCAATGTACCCTATATTATAACCATTACTTCTCCCTATGATGCCCACGGCTTTACTCACGCCACCCTACGGGGAGCAAATGACAACCTTCTCCCAGAAATCAGTAATGGGTACAATATTTGAAACAACTGAACGGTTAGAAAATTGCTAAAATCTGTAACATATTATCTTATATGCTAAGATTATACGCATTAGCTACACGGAATGGAAACCTCTCGGCCTTGGAGTATCTGGGCTTGTCTGGTATTATCTCCTGTGGAGCAGACCATGATCAGTACTAACAGTTCCCCTATAGCTCTGCAAGGGATCAGCTTACTCAGAGAACTGTTGCCGTGAAGAAACTCGCGGAACCTTTCAAGACACCGGCTATTGCAAGACACATGTTTCGAGAAATGAAATTGACAAGACAGTTGCGACATGAAAACGTGAGCATCCCCCATGGCTCGTATGAAACAACTGTCTAATTGACAGACAGATCATTAACATGACAGACATCTTCATTTCCCCTTCTGAAGACATGTACGATGAGACTCCACTCTCCTTACATGGAAAGTACTAATAATCTCAGATACATCGTGACCGAACTTATGGCAACCGACCTTGATACAATTCTCAAGGCGAAAAGGGTGGAAGACCAATTCGCCCAATACTTCATGTATCAAATAATGGTTGGTACCATTTTTAACCAACCCCCTAGCAAGCACGATTTTCTGATCAACAATTCCAGCGTGGCTTAAAATATCTCCATTCAGCCGGTGTCATCCACCGAGACCTAAAGCCAAGCAACATTCTGGTCAATGAAAACTGCGACCTAAAGATATGTGACTTTGGTCTGGCCCGCGTCCAAGAATCCCACATGACCGGCTATGTCTCGACGAGGTACTATCGTGCGCCGGAGATCATGCTCACATGGCGAAAGTATACCGAAAAAGTCGATATGTGGAGTGCCGGGTGCATCTTCGCGGAATTACTCCTGGGCGAGCCTTTGTTCCCTGGCACGAATCATATTAACCAGTTTTGTGTTATCACCGATCTACTCGGTAACCCACCCAAAGAAGTGATCAACAATATAACAAGCGAGAATGTGAGTAGCTGAGATGGTATTATTTTTGAAAGGAATGGGGTTACTGACGGCTTTTCCTTCTCCTACAGACGTTGAACTTTATCAATTCACTCCCAAGGCGAGAACGCAAATCAATATCACAGCTCATCCCCAAAGCCAACGCAGATGGTACGTTTCAAGCTATCACTTTTTTTTAAAAAAAAACAAAACGTTAACCAAATCAGCGGCTGTATTGATCGACAAAATGCTTGAATTCGACCCTCAAGTACGAATCTCTGCGACGGAAGCCCTCTCATCCCCATATCTCGCACCATACCACGATCCCGACGACGAACCAATCGCGGCAGAAACATTTGACTGGGCCTTCCTCGAGGCAGATCTCTCAGCCAACATATGGAAAACTATCATGTAAGTCCTATATGTAGTACACCCCGACGCATCTCTGAACACTCTTCTGATCATTCTACTAGGTACAACGAGGTGCTGGCATTCCACTCAGAAATGAACCATACAGGCCAGAGCAGGCCGATGGAATTGATAAATCAGGTGGGCGGAATGGACATTGGTTGAGCGACAGTCTGTATATATCTTTTGGGTCTCTGGGTTATTTATGTTCGTTCAAGCGTTTTGTTGATCAGACGGATGATGCCATTTTTTAATACTGTAGTGAATTCACGATTCAAAGATTTTTCAAAGATTTCTATTTTAATTTGGTACAATTGTGACGACATAAATTGAGTGGATCGTCGGTATGGAGATAAAGAGAGTAAGGAGATTATCGTATTAACATTAGGTCGATACATGACCAGACCATATCTGGCATTATCAGGAAATCCTTGCATATAAACAGGGGCAGGCATGTTTTCATCAAATCAACCAAGTGGGGTATCGCTTTCATCTAGGAAACTGAACCACGTGCGTATCATAACTTGTAAGTTGTGCCAGTGTCGGTACATTAACATATCCCCAGGGTATGGACACACCCATTTAGACAGCATCGGCAGTGGTGGTGGTAGTGGTGTTGCCGTTGGTATTGGCACCAGCAGCAGTCATCTCTGGGGCAGCATCGTCGCGGTGGTTCTTCGCGTTGCGGCGAGAGTTCTTCACGTCTATGATAGCGAAGGTGTTTGTGACAACGAAAGTAGACCTATCCAGAACAATAGGTTAGATAATGTATGTGTATATTATCCTTGGGCGTCTGTTCTTACCATTGGATGGCCCCGACGACAATCAAAGCCTGGAGGGCGTGACAACTGGAATAGTGGCATGCGCCAGGCGAGGGGATCATGGCAGCCAAGGCGATCCAGCCGCTGAGCCAGAGGCCGCCGGTGAGCAGCTCTATGAGGGGAATGGCGACTTCATGTGAGAAGCGAGGGTAGGCTACGGGTGCGAGGCCCAGGTAGGGGACTGCGATGGCTGTTGTCCAGCAGCCGTTGAAAAGCATGTAGTAGATGACATTTGAGTAGGACCATTCGTCATATAGAGAGGCAATCTCTAGATGGTGTCAGTCGTGTTATGATGAACCCTATGGTGAAACTAACGATATGCAGTAAGACCAATAGTGGCTAGTGACAGGATGGCCTGCACGATTCGCAATGGGTAGATCCAGGAAAGCATCTTGGATGTGGAAACGGTTCTTTTTGCTGGGTATAACGTATACAGGTGGGTATAGTGTGTTTTTGGTAGGTGTGTGGCGGAAAGGATTGCAAAGCAAGAAGATCTACAGCCGTAAGGGAATGTCATGGGCTTTATACTCTCGTGAGAGACGGCCCACAAGGCGACTAGCCTGTGTTTTCCCACGTCATGGCATCGTGATTCGGAAAAAGATGTGCATTAGGGAAGATTTGCGAGAGTTAGACTGGATGGCGGAGTCTCGGAGTAGGGATTGAAAAGTTTGACGCAGGATCGTTCCGATAGACCCTGAGGCTTTCCAAATTAGGGTTTGGGGTCTAGTACAACTTCCCCGCCTTGGGATCATCTCCTTTGACCATGCGCCTGACCATGTTACATATCTTCAAGATGAAAACTGCCATTCATCCTGTACTCTCAAGGATTCAACAATGCCAGTTCAAAGTCGCACTCACTTGACGGTACTTCCGCTCCAAACAAGAGTATCATATGTTGGGTTGCCCGCACGGCGCTAGCCTTGTCGATCTCACATGAAAGCCTCGGCCATGCAAACAAATTCGGCCATGCTGATCCAAAATCAACAAGCTGCTTTTTCGGAAATGTTTCCAGGTTGCTGCCAAGAACGTGGTTTACCTTAGTGTGCTAGTGCCGCCATTCGAGCTTGTTTGGCGCGGATCAATTAGGGCCTTTCGACCTCGGCACGTCGATCCTCGGACTGACCGTACACAGCACAATCCAGATATGACAGCCGGATGAGCTCATCGTACTCCTGTCACTTATGCTTATGCATTCTAGAATAACAGCACAATCCAGATATGACAGCCGGATGAGCTCATCGTACTCCTGTCACTTATGCTTATGCATTCTAGAATAACAGCACAATCCATCATTTGAAGATCCACATACTGGAGAATTTCGATGCATATATACAAAAAAGAACAAGAATCTCTCCTATCTTACAGAGCGCACGCCATCAGTTACGTGAAATAAGAGCCCTCACAGCATCCATAACTCCAATAGACTTCTCGTCGGCGGGCTCGATCGAGGACCGTGCCTCTTCAGACTGGCGCGGCGCCGGTTGCGCTGGCTTATTACCGGCCTCCTTAGCCGCAGCCTCAATGGCAGCGTGGCGCTCTCTCCACTCGCGATCCTCCTTATCACGAACCTCCAGCTCGCGCAACCACGCGTCGCGCTTTTCTTGCTTCTTCCGAAGTTCCACAGCCTGGTCGAATTCTCGGCGCTGCTGTCGCTCCGTCTTGAAGTACATTCCGCCGGCGACTAGGGCGACTAGTGTGAAGGCTTGCGCGTAGATACGGGCTCGGAACATTCGGTTCATTTCAACTGAATCGCCGGATTTCATCGACCGGTAGGCGCGGTAGAGGGCATAGCATGTTGCGGCGCATCCTGCGGTAGTATGTATTAGTTTTTAATGTTGGAAAGAAATGCAGAGGGAAAGGTAAGGGCTTGTGCTAGAGGAATCTCATACCAAGTGGAACGAGCGGCTCTTCTCTGAGGCGCCGTGTGAATTTTTGAGTGCCGGTCTCTTCTGTAAATTGACTGTCCGAGGCCGAGTGTTAGCAGACGAACCTAGCCTTCGCTTTCTCTGCGGTATTGCTGGGTGCCTCTTGCGGGGCACGCGGATACTGTGCGACACATACGGGTTATCGTCAAAAGACGAAGGTACGGGGTCCTTGTTCATCGTGAAGTTGACTGGGGTCGGCTATCTTGACAATGGTCGTGCGGAGTTCAGTTGCGTCCACGGGATGCGGAGTTTTCGCGTCGGGGATATTCGATCGATCCTTATGAATTAGGAGTTGAGTGATAAAGATATAATCGAGAGCTGCAAGGAGTTCGAAGTCTCGAGGTTGGAATAGACTCGAGATGCTGGCAGGGTCTGTGGTATGACGCCAAGTTTTCAAACATATCGGGTTATGTAACTATCTGGGCCAAGGAGACTTGTGAACTACAGCATCCATGTCTCTAGACGAATGAGGACATTAGGCTCTTTATTTTGCCTATATGCTTATATTGAGGAATCTCTTATCTCATGACTGGTCTATAATATTCAAACAAATAAATGCAAAGATACGTTATTCTTGTACAGCACCTCATTGTTGACCGCTATCTACTTGTACATCGTACCTGTACCTGCTTGCTGCCCCTCCAACATTCAATCATCCAGTCTAAGGGATACACAATTTCATATTTGTCTAGAAAATTAACGACTATTCGCTTTGATCTCATCTACGTTCATTCCCTCAACACGCCTACCTCAACCTTTGTTTAGGGCTCGCACACAGTGTTGATGACATAAGGGCCTCCGATCACCGGTCCCGCCAAAAAAGAGTCAGAGAGAGTTTAAATTTGCCGGCTTCCAAATTCTTTCGAATCAGAATTGGGATTGATTGTCTCCATCTGACAGAAATCATCTCAAAGCCATTATGTCTGACGAATCCCACGGCGTCGCGACGCCTGTCACCCCCAAGATGAGCGGGCTTGCGTTGACCGAGTATACCGCCGCTCCGACGCCGCCCTCTGAACGCGAGCATAGAACCCCCGGCTTGCCTCCCAATTGGGGAATTCCTGAAGCTTTCTTGCTTCCCAACGGCTACCCTGATGTAATTCAAGCTTCGCAATTCGCATTCAATCTTTCAATTCTAACATTACCCCGCAATTCTAGTATCTCCGGTTGATTTTGACGTCACGAGTTTACGATGTTATTGAAGAAAGCCCTTTGACTCATGCCGTCAACCTGAGTAACCGGCTAGAATGCCGGGTGCTGCTCAAGCGCGAGGATCTACTCCCGGTGTTCAGCTTCAAGCTTCGTGGCGCATACAACAAGATGGCTCATCTGGACAATAAGCAGCGCTGGAAGGGTGTTATTGCTTGCTCTGCTGGTGAGTCTATACCTGATAGTTAAGACAAACTGGAAGTGCTTCTTACTCACTCTGTATAGGAAACCATGCTCAAGGTGTGGCCTATTCTGCCCGCAAGTTGAGAATCCCCGCTACCATCGTCATGCCTTCCGGCACCCCCGCCATCAAACACCTGAATGTTGCTCGCTTAGGAGGAAGTGTGGTTCTTCACGGAATGGATTTTGATGCTGCTAAGGAGGAGGCTCACCGATTGGAAAAGCAGCATGATCTGACAAACATCCCACCGTTTGACGACCCTTATGTCATTGCTGGCCAAGGTACCATCGGCATGGAGCTTCTGCGCCAGGCCAACCTGGACAAGCTCGAGGCAGTCTTCTGTGCCGTTGGCGGAGGTGGTCTGATTGCTGGCATTGGAGTTTACATCAAACGTATTGCACCCCAGGTGAAGGTCATCGGTGTCGAGGCTTACGATGCCAACGCTATGACTGAGTCCCTCAATGCGGGTAACCGAGTTTTCCTCAAGGAGGTTGGCCTCTTTGCAGACGGTGCAGCAGTCAAGTCTGTTGGCGAGGAAACTTGGCGTATTAGCCGCGAGGTCATCGACGATGTTATCCAGGTCTCCACCGACGAGACTTGCGCTGCCATCAAGGACGCCTTCGAGGATACCCGGTCCATCGTCGAGCCCGCCGGCGCTCTCGCTCTTGCCGGTCTCAAGAAGTACATTGCCCAGAACCCCAGCCCTGACCCCAACCGCGAGCTCATTGCTATTGCCTCCGGCGCCAATATGGACTTCGACCGTCTGCGGTTTGTTGCCGAGCGCGCTGCCCTTGGCGAGAAGAAGGAGGCACTCCTTAGCGTGAAGATTCCCGAGAAGCCCGGCGCGTTCGCCAAGCTTGTTGAAATCGTCCTACCTCACGCCGTCACCGCGTTCAACTACCGCTACGCCCGCGAAGAGTCAGCTGATGTGTTGATGGGAATCTCCCTATCCACCTCTACTGGCCGTGAAGACCTGGCCAAGATCATGGGAGAGCTGGAGAAGGGCGGCATGAGCTGCCGGGACTTGAGTGATGACGAACTTGCCAAGCGTCATCTGCGCTTCCTTGTCGGCGGCCGCTGCGAGGTCGCCGATGAGCGCATCTTCATGTTCGAGTTCCCCGAGCGTCCAGGTGCTCTTGCCAAGTTCCTCACCACCCTCCGTCCTGAGCAGAATATCTCTCTGTTCCACTACCGCAACTACGGTGGTGATGTAGGCAAGGTTTTGGCTGGAATCCAGTGCCCGTCGCCTGAGAAGGAGGACTTGGAGGCATTCCTTCAGGATCTCGGCTATCCGTTCAGTGAGCACACTGACTCGCCCACTTACAAGACCTTCTTGCGTTCAGAATAAATAATTTTTAAATTGGATAAGAGGAAAAGGGGGGGTAACGAGAAGATGCATTGTTCATAGCTTGTTATGATTTAAGCGGTTTAAGGTCCAGGCCTGTTTTGTCTCTTGTTTGGCGTTTGGTTCGTTTCCATAGACCCTCTGTATCATAGGTCACATAGTCTACATACTTTTCGGGTTCCTTACTACATACTTGCATAAGTACAAATATCCTCAAATATCCCTTTTCTCACTGTCGAGCATTCATACACTCACATTCTATTTTGCGGATCACGTCTTCACTTTATCCAGGAATATTTCAGCTTTCCTGAGTAGCTTCAATAATTTAAACTGGCTCTTCTCTCTTCTCCCTTCTCTCTTCACTAAATCAATCTGCATTTTCGCATTGTCGTTCTGTTTTCCCTGCCGTCCTTATACTCGTAGTGCAAAGCTGACCAATCACAGCGGGAAATACCCTCGGCCGACCGGCGATACAGAAGCTCCGGCCAACATTTGCGATCGCAACACGAGAGAACCTTCGGAGCCGAAACATATCGACCTCGCACCATACCCCGATACCCCTTGTTCTTTATAAGGTGACACTTGAGGCGCAGCCTCTAATTGATCATCTCCCGTGGAGATAAACCGAAATCGCAACCCGCCGCCATGTTCTCCCTCCGTGCCGTCTTCGGTGCCTCCTCCGGTGCTCTCCGCCAGTTCCTCCCCTCTGTGACCACCCGGACCGCCTCATTACGGCCTTTTTCACACATGATTTGCAACAGCCTGACGAGGCTCCGTGGACAAACAAAGTCCGGCAACTCTGTTGCCGTGGCGAATGCGTCTGCCAGACAGGTGGAGCAGGTTCGGGGAATGAAGACTCGGTCTTCTGTTAAGAGACTGTGTGATGGCTGCAAGGTATGATTTGAGATATTGAATATGTTCAAATTGAAATGAGTGGGAAAGCGTGTTTTGACTGGTGCTAACTGCTGAACAGCCCGTTCACCGGAAAGGCCGTGTCTACATCATCTGGTGAGTTGTGATTACCACGTGCCATTGAAGGCTATACTTGAAGTCATTCAGTTTTAACGTTTTATTTTCTCGGTCTTTTAGCTCGAAGAACCCCAAGCACAAGCAACGGCAGGGCAAATAGAGTTGTTGCTTTCTATCATTTTCTTCGGTAGCGTCTATCGCTTTGTCCTTCCACGGCAGCCTTTACTCGAACAATCCGAGATAATGGCAATATTCCTAGGCATACAAATATGCTATCGATAACTAGGTCGTCTTGAAATCTCTTGGTTATACGGCTTATCGTCGCGGAACTCAGATCGGCGGCATACTTTTGCATTCTTGTTTCAAAACCAGACAGTGGTTGGATACCACGGCGCTTGTGTCTTTTTTCCTGTATATTAGTATTGCAATGAAGTTTATTGGGTCTTCATGTTTCAATCCAACTCATCATGATCTCCAGTCTTGTCTTTCTTGGATAGCCAACATCTATGGATATATGCGCAATTTACTCCAACCTACGGACTTTTGCCATACCCAAGCCCCCAAACAACCAAGGCACCATCGTTTCCAATGTTGATATCTCATTTGATGGTTATACGTCCACCGAATTGCAATCCACCGGCTCTAATGGGCCGATGTAAATAATCACGTGATGCGTTCCTGGCTTCCCCGAACTTTTTTTCGGGGAGCCAACTAAACATTCAATTCGCGTTGATCATATCAATTCTGGTGTGGTTGGATCATCACCATGCGGTCTCCTACTCTTTTGCGGTTACAAACCCGCGCGGTGTCTGGTTTGACCAGATCAGCTCGCTTCCAGCCCCAGACTCTTCTGCGCCAGCGATGCGCTTCCACGGCCGCGTTCCGGTCTGCCGCTGTTGCGCCGGCTTATCAGTCGAAGTTGGGACAATGGGACCAGCGCCGAAATGCCTCTGAGGTTGCCTCTGCAGTGTAAGTATACTGGTCAAACTGATCACTTTCTTTTACTCTTTTTAATGTTTATTGTTAGTCTCGAGGCTGCCAAGGCCAACCCGGACGGTCTATCCCAAGCCGCCATTATTGACAGTCTCGATCCGGTTGAGGCCGCTCGTCTTGACAAGTGTCGTAACATTGGTATTGCGGTACATACTATCCCAATTGATCCGTCATCTGCCTTTTGTTCTTGTCTAATGAAGTTCTCCCTGCACAGGCCCATATCGACAGCGGTAAAACCACCTGTACCGAGCGAGTTCTTTTCTACACTGGTCGTATCAAGGCTATCCACGAGGTCCGCGGGCGTGACAGCGTCGGTGCCAAGATGGACTCCATGGACTTGGAGCGCGAGAAGGGTATTACCATCCAGTCCGCGGCCACGTTCTGTGACTGGGTTAAGAAGGATAAGGAGGGTGTCGACCAAAAGTACCACCTCAACTTGATTGATACCCCCGGTCACATTGATTTCACCATTGAGGTCGAGAGAGCGCTGCGCGTTCTGGACGGCGCTGTCATGATTCTGTGTGCTGTCTCCGGTGTCCAGTCCCAAACCATTACCGTCGATCGCCAAATGCGCCGTTACAACGTTCCTCGTATCTCATTCGTGAACAAGATGGACCGTATGGGTGCTAACCCCTTCAAGGCTGTTGACCAGATCAACACTAAGCTGAAGATCCCTGCCGCTGCCGTTCAGGTCCCCATCGGTGCCGAGGACGAGTTCGAGGGTGTTGTTGATTTGATCCGCATGAAGGCCCTATACAACGTTGGCCAGAGTGGTGAGGAGATCGTGGAGAAGGATGAAATTCCCGAGAAGGTCAAGGCCATTGCCGAGGAACGCCGCACCATGCTCATCGAGACTCTTGCCGATGTCGACGATGAGATCGCGGAGTTGTTCTTGGAAGAGATCACACCCAGCGAGGATCAAATCCGAGCCGCCATTCGCCGAGCTACTATTAGCTTGAAGTTCACCCCTGTCTTCATGGGATCTGCTCTTGCCAACAAGTCGGTTCAGCCCATGCTGGACGGTGTTATTGACTTCCTTCCCAACCCCTCTGAGGTGGAGAACCTCGCCCTTGACCAGAAGCGTGAAGAAGCGCCTGTCAAGCTTGTCCCCTATAACTCTCTTCCTTTTGTTGGTCTGGCCTTCAAGCTGGAAGAGAGCAACTTCGGTCAATTGACCTATATCCGCGTCTACCAGGGCACTCTTCGCAAGGGCTCCAACGTCTTCAACGCTCGCAACAACAAGAAGGTCAAGGTTCCCCGTATTGTCCGCATGCACTCCAACGATATGGAGGAAGTAAGCGAGATTGGCTCTGGTGAGATTTGTGCTGTGTTCGGTATTGAGTGTGCCTCTGGTGACACCTTCACGGATGGAACTCTCGGCTACAGCATGTCATCCATGTTCGTTCCCGAGCCCGTTATCTCGCTTTCTATCAAGCCCAAGCAGAGCAAAGACGGTGCCAACTTCTCCAAGGCCATGGCCCGCTTCCAGAGAGAGGACCCCACCTTCCGAGTGTCCTACGATAGCGAGAGCGACCAGACCATTATCTCCGGAATGGGTGAACTCCACCTTGACATCTACGTGGAGCGTATGCGCCGTGAGTACCGTGTCGACTGCGAGACTGGTCAGCCCCAGGTCGCCTACCGCGAGACCATCGGCAACCGTGTTGAGTTCGACCACCTGCTCAAGAAGCAGTCCGGTGGACCTGGTGAATTCGCCCGTGTTATGGGATTCATGGAGCCTACTGGCGTCCTCGAGGAGAACAAGTTCGAGCAGCAGGTTATTGGAGGCAGCATTTCGGAGAAGTTCCTGTATGCTTGCGAGAAGGGTTTCAACCTCTCTTGTGAGAAGGGTCCTCTCATCGGCCACAAAGTTCTCGGTACTCGCATGGTCATCAACGACGGTGCCACTCACATGACTGATTCTTCCGAAATGTCCTTCAAGAACGCCACCCAGCAGGCGTTCCGCAAGGCTTTCGCCGAAAGTCAGCCCTCTGTTCTGGAGCCTCTCATGAAGACGGTCGTGACCGCTCCGACTGAGTTCCAGGGTGATGTTATCGGCCTGTTGAACAAGCGCGGTGCCACTATCAACGATACCGAGACCGGTGTTGACGAGTTCACTGTCTACGCTGACTGCAGTCTGAACGGCATGTTCGGTTTCAGCAGTAACCTGCGCGCCGCTACTCAGGGCAAGGGTGAATACACCATGGAGTTCAGCCACTACGAGAAGGCTCCTCCTCACATGCAGTATGTTTCAACCAGAATAACTCTTCATCCATTGTCCGTTGCTAACCATCTTCTCTTACAGGAAGGAACTCATTGCCAAGTACGTCAAGGCCCAGGCTGACAGACACAAGAAATAAACGATAAAATATGTAATAACACCCACCCACTCCGACTACTCTGGCAACCCAAGCCAGGCAGTGCCTGGCATTGGCTCTTGTTGGAACTAAGAAGCAGCATATTTTGGTTTCAATCCCTGCTGCTTCTCCCACTAAAACACCCCCCTGTACTATTTACGCATGGCACTATATCACATTGTGACTTTCTGGGACCTGTATTTCAAGATTAAGATGCTACTTTCAACTCTCCTATCTGAACAAATAGATTATTGTTTTGTTATTATTCTCTTTGTATTGTTAATGACTCCCGCGGTGTAAATCCAGGACTCTTAAGTCTAGCCCTAATGTATCAACTCAACATCTCCTATCAACCACCGCACTCTCGAGCCTTGCGCAAGTCTTCGATTCCCGCTTTCTTTTTAAGCTTAGGAAGGGGCGGGGGGGCATTACAATTTAAATGACAGGGAATACAAGTGATGCCTGGAGGATGAGGAGCGTATTGGTTGACGTTAACACGAGGCGTCGGCCTTAGGCGAGATGTCGCAGACGAACGCAGGTCATTCTTACCCTTTCTCTGTTCAATGTTGGCATGTTCTCCTGCTATATAGTCTACCCGTTGAATTTTAGGCTTCTTCTCTGATTTGAATGTAGACACACGCACAGATGAGGGATTTGGGCTTGAGGGACGTGAAAGGGGGGGAAGGGGGAGGAAATTATGGGGAAGAGGCTTGTTAATGGGTAGGATTGGGAGAGGCTTCTTCATAGGAATGGGAGGGAGAGGCTTGTCCTGTAATATGTTAGTCTGCTTCGAAGTATATTCAATGCGATCGGTCCCAGATACAGGCAGAGGAATGTCTTGGGAGAAATCATTCTTGTGAAGATTGAATCTACGGAACGCCTGGATGATAGGAATATCTTCCTCACGCACACCTGTGAACAATGGAGGGAGATCTTCCTCTTCATGCTGGCCCTCGTCTCCTAGCTTGTCCATGAGGTCTTCAAGCTCAGGGTCGCTCAAGGCACCCAGGAACAGGGGCCATCTTGCATCAGCAGGCGGCAGTGTAGGGATAAGAGGTGGAAGCTCCTTCGTGGCATCGAAGCGTCCAGAAACACTCTTACCCTGACCTGGTGGCTTCCAGTGAGCGTTTTCGGCATAAACGGCCACATTATCCCAGATCGGAGCACCTGCTTGGTCTCGGATTTGATAGAATGCCAATAAACGACGGGCAATGTGTAGCTGGGATTGTCCTTCCCTCACCATCATGGTCAGTCGGTAATCCAGATGAAAGTCTTGTTCATACAAGACAGTCACGAGGAATGCACCGATCGCGTCACCTGGGACCTGATCCAGAATCCATGTCCTCAAGCATCTCCTCAAGTAATGCAAAGCCTTGAGATCCCAGGAAACGAGAAGACGTCGTTCTTGAACGGCGAGCATGGTATCGGCCGGTCTGTCCTCTAAGAATGACTGGAAGAGAGCTAGCAGTTGCCACCGGCTGGTGCTAGCTTCCTTGTAGGAGTGGCTTAAGGGTTTTGCTGGGATGGAGGAGTTAGTGGGAAGCTTGGTACCTTTTGGAGACATTTTTGGTGTACAAGATGAGCAATATATTGTGAAGAGGAATATACCTGAGGCAAGACTACTTTGTTTCTGCTGAAAATAAATGTTGTGCTCAAAGGTTGTGACTCTGTTTAATGGAAATCCCCAGATATTTATGCTTGATCCTTTTTATATCGTGAAAGGTTGCCATTGTTAAGCATAGACAAGAGGAAGAGGACAAAACAAAGAGGTATGCTTGCACCCTTTCAAGTATTTTGATCAAAGATATTGTTCTGAAATATTCCGCAAGAGTGACAACGAACAAAGAGCGAAGAGCTTTGTTCCCAAAATTTCGAGTCATTCATTGCCGACCCCGGTTGTTTGCAGAGGAATATCAATCTGAGGGCTGGCTGAAGGACAAACAGTGGACAAGTTCCACTATCAAAAGAGACGAATAGGCATTGTTCAAATGCAATTGTATTGAAACAGAGACAGGATGGCTGAATTATATACAAAGGGTGAAGAGAAGATATTATGGGAATTATTTGAAACTGATGCAACGCTCCGTTACATCGTATATGATGGATTATAAAAGAAGACAGCAGGCATAAACAAGCTCACTGGAAGGGTATATGCATGCCAGCAGGGGCAATGGAGTTAAAAGTAGTAATGTAAAAAGAAAATTCCGCGAAAGGGTAGTAGGCGCGGAAGAATAATGAAGAAGTGTCCAAAATGCAGCCTATCGTCAAAGCCACAAGACCCATCGGATACCAGTCAAGGCACCCCGGAAGACACCACGCACAAGCTTGAAAGCCATAACAATAAGCCATACCCACCAAAGCATCGCAACAAGGGCCCATTCCAAAACCATGAACCCAGTGCGGCGAATCCACCGCAATCGACGGCGACGCTTACGAAGGCCCCTATCAAGGGCATCACTCAGTTGCTTGACAGCGAGTGTGCTGGTGGTGTTGAGATGGACACACATGTCCTCGGCGTCATTTGCCGTGGTTCGGACGCGGGGAGTCAAAGAATGGGTTATCAGGTTTTCCAGGTTCGTCAGCTGAGATCGGAGGGGCAACGAGGTGGAGGTGGAGAAGTTATGCATGGATTGTTGGAACGAGTGTTGGGTCTGCTCGAAACGCCTGAGGAGGTTTTGAGCAGCGAGGTCGAATTCGTCGATCCGCGTCACTTGTGGAACAGATGTACCAGGGCCCATGGAGCTTTGAAGCCAGTGAGGAACTGTCTCACGGTGAGTGTGGGCTCGGCGAGTGATCTCCCGGGCTTTAATCCCAGATGACAGCAGAAGAGCCCTTGTGCGTTCGACTTCTGGTTTCCCGGGGACGCCCGTATCAATCAAGGTGTGGATGCTACGCCCAGATATACTCCAGGCGCGACTAGCACCTGAAAGCCCTGAGCGTCTTCCCTCCGGGGAAAGGTTTGGTGATGCTCGAGCGTTGGCAAGCCCGGTGACAGGAGGGCATGCTAAGTTGAAAGGGATGGAAGGGTCTTTCATCTCGTGGCGCTTTGTCCGTCCCGTATGCAGAGAAGGGCTGAAATCAAGCGTTTTGCTACGTGGCAGCGAGAACTTCTTAGGAGAATCACGGGAACCATAATTTTGTGGAGAGGAAACTCGTTCGCCAGGACTGCCGAAATCGGCTACTTCTGATGCTTCACTTCGTTCATCTTGCCGCGGGGGTGATGTGAAGGTCAGCAGAGAAGGAATAAAGCTTCGGGATGAGTTCTTCTCGGAATTTCTGGGCTCATCTGTAAATGTTGGCAGGCGCCGTAAAAGGCCTTTAGAGCCAGACTTCCTGTCGCTTCTGAATTCTTCATCAGAATCGCTATCCTCTGATGCAAAAGTGGTGGCAGACGACGATTTCCGAGATTCAGGATCGGCGTCCTTCTTCAGGATGAGATCCCCAACCTTAGAGACCTCATTCCCAACAATCTCTGCTATCCGACCTGGTCCCTTGAATATTCCTCGTAGCTTTGATTCAGGAAGATGGGGCCCTTTACGGGACCGATGTCCATCAGCTCGATTCCCTTCCGTGCCTTGGTCATCAGGATAGGATGACGACACAACATCAGGAAGAGGACTTGGCTCGAGCTTGGAGGCACTCTCCGTCCGCTCAGGCGCTGTCACATTTCGCTGTCGCAAAGTCTCGGGTTCCGGGAATTCATCTTCCCGCTCTCGCTCCCGATCTGCTTGTTTGCTCTTGCTGCGCTCGTGCCGTGAAACGATCTTATGACGGAGGCCCTTCTTTGCGGGCGAGGGAGATCGACTTGAAGGGGGGACAGATTTACTGCTATGCTCGGGAAATAACCAACATGGGAGGGAGAGTTAGGCGCAGTGCTATCCATGCCTTCCAGAGACATCCGAGGATCATGCCGGTCATCAAAGCTGCCTGCTGATGAGAAGGAGCCTTTTCTGTGCTTGCGGGCTTGCTTTGTGTTGACCGACAGCGGCTCTGTTGGTTGCGGTGTCCTTCCCCGGTCAATGTCAGCGTTATGAACAGCCGGGGATTTGGAGCGGGATATCCGAGATCCTGAATGTGCATGGTTGACGAATCTTTGGACATGGTCGCGGATATGCTCACGAGACATGCGGGGTTTTTCATCGACGGAAGGGCGGGTATCTGAGCTTGAAGAGCTCGAGACGCTGCCCGAACGCATTTTGACATGATCCCACCGCGAGGGCTTTCGTTTGCTAGAAGCACTGCGGCTGCGTAAGCTGTGCGAATGACTTCGGAATCTGTGCCTGTGCCGCCCGCGACCCACGCTCTTGAATTCATGCGCCAATGCAGGGCGGGAACTAGAGAAAGAAGTGCGTGGTGATGAACGTGTCTCTCTAGGATCTCCCACTTCGACCGAAAGGCGCTGCTGCTTATGCGACGTCTTGAGGTCATCACTCGTATCTATCATAACTAATTCTTTGGGGTCAGGGTAGAGTTTATGGCCATCCTTGTCGACAACCTTCGTCTTGTTGGTACCATATTCCAGCCAGGCGGCATCAGCCAAAAGCTCTGCCGGCGAGAATTTCCAATCAATGCGTGGCCGACGGGCCTTCATGCTGCTGGTTCGGCTGACTCGCCGCAAGCTCGACCCCGGAGAGGTAGGTATAACATCCATATCTTCGTGTTCCCCAATGGACATATGGCGGCGACCTTGTTGGAAAGGTGGCAGCTTCAAGCAATTTAGTTGGTCGTACTCTCTTTGGCTGTATTTTTGCTCGACGTTATTGATCCATTGGTGGACTCTTTCAACGTCGTGCCATCCTTCTGCATCTGCATCAATGGAGCATTTCTCGCGATACCTGACCTTTCGGTTGCGAATCATTTGAAGCGGGTTATAGCGACGGTGGGGTTTCTGTGGGTTGAACTCAGAGTCATCCTTGGCTGCATCTCGAAGAGGTGGTAATGAGGGCAGTAGCCGCATATATTCATGAAACAAATCAAAATGATTGCGTGCTCTCTCAGCACGAGCTACTGTGCTTTCGGAGAATTCATAAGCCCGTAGATCCTCGGTCGCGGATGGAGGCAACAAATTCACAACAGATAATTGCTCTAAGCTTGGCAGTGTCCCTTGTGACAAACGATTACCAGAGAGCTGAGTAAAGTTGCGATACGTCGAATCGCGCTGGAAATTCCTCGCTCGTGGGGAATATCCATAGCTGTCTACTGACGGAACAGCAGATTGAGAGACAGATATTGGTCTTCGGCTCTCGGAGCCCGCGGGTATCCCAGAAGCTGTCCTCTTTCTCGATTCATTGAGATTCAAGGCTAGATTCACAATCTGGATCGAGTCCCTATCGAGGCCAGGGGTTGCATGTGCCACGTTGTCTTCCTGTACCTCGGGATGGGAGGAGCTTCCGGAGGGCTGTCTATCAGGAGACGTGGAAGCTTGTCTGGCATTGATCGGGCTAGAAGTCGCATCATTTGACACCACTTCAGATGTATGGTGTTTATGTCGGCCCCATGGAAACCGTGAGCGTTTCTTGGGAACCACGATATCCGGTTCGGGAACGCTGCGCTTCTCTTGGAGAGGTTTTGAGGGACGAGGGCGGTTCAGGCTAACCCTTGTGCTCCGTGAGCGAGGTAACGAGTCAAGCAAAAAGCCACCTGAGCTTAAGGTCCTCCGCTGGCCCGGTGTCCTTCGATCTCCATCACGGGAACCGCTGCCAAGTGTACTACCTTCTAACTCCCCGCTCGGTCGGCCATCACTCTTTTGGGGCGGGGTCTGGCGAAATGAGCCCGGATCGGATCGAAGTAAAGACGGCGCAGTTCCTGAGGATCGGTCTCGGGGTCGTATATTCGCCGGAGAGATTGAAGATCGTGAGGGGGGGCTCGTTTGGTCGTTGCGACATTGTTGCAGTACGGGCAACAATGCTAGATGGCAACGCTCAAAAAAGGGACGGACATATTTTGGCCAGACACAAGCATAAGTTCAATCCACCAAGCTGGCAAGGGTTCAAGTACCAGTGAAATTAAAGACAAAATGTTGCATGACCTGCAAGCCGTAACATCCCCAGTGTAGATCGGAATGCGCGTTAGCCAGTATTACGTAATCACTTTATTCGCACCCGGCCTCGGCAGTCTAGACACTGAACCCTAGAGTCAAGCATCAAACCTATTCGGAATTTAATTCAGGAAAGATTCATTCATTTATAGAGAAGTGGCTACATACTGTACACCTTAATACGAGCCGAGAGACGTGGGAAATTTCTAGCATTTGGGTCTAAAGCACAAGTACAACTAGAGGTACAGTTCCTGTAAAAGACGAGAATATACAGGGTAGAATGAATTCAGCTTCGCTCAAAAGTATGCGCTTACTCAACCCGCAAGCATTGGAGGCGGGCCTCGGCCTCGATGACCTGCGAAAAGAAAAATTGTTAGTGGATCTGTTCCAAATTGCCAAACGGAAATGTGCAACAAAAGCTTACCTCGAGAGCCTGTCTGACTTCAAGAACCTTGCGAACATCACCCAGCCAGTCCTTGCTGAGAATCTTAGCCCAGCCCTGGAGAGTGTTCATTTCCCGAGCGGCGGCATCAACATCGCCCTGCTGCAACAAGTTCTCGGTGCGCACCAGAACGCTCTCCACGTCATCACCCTCGGACAAACCATCCTTCTTGAACATGACCTTGCTCAGGACGAGGCTAGCGGCATGACTGGCCACACCGGCATCCTCGGGCAGCAGGCTAGCCTTGCGGACTTCACTTGCAACTCGGCGGAAACGCTCGAAGATCTGAGTAGTGGAGGGGATACCACGCTGGTAAGCGGTGGGGTTAATAGATGCAATGGCAGCCTCAACGACGGCATCACCAGCAGCAAGCTCTTTTACGGCCACAAGCTCACGGACAAACGGCCGGGGGTCTCAGCACGCTCGACCACGGTGCGAACGGCATCCAGGGCGACCTGCAGCTGCTGAGTCTTGAGGTTGGTGTCGATTACGTCGCTCCATCCAGCAGTCAGCTTCTCAAGCTCATTAATGTCGGCTGTGAGCTCAGTCAACTTGCTCAGACGACCCTCACGCTCGCGTTCGACCAAGCTCTGGACCTGGTGAACATACTTGCGGTTCAGCTCGATGGCCTGCTCAACAAGCTCATTCTGAAGACGCTGCTCAGCAAGCTCCTGAGCATGGCGAAGTTCGGTGTGAACCTTCTGCTGGTATGCCAAAGCTAGCTTCTCGCGCTCGGCCTCGAACTCTTCGCGGAACGAAGCAAGATCAGTGGAGCGTACTTCCTCAAATTGGCGCATCAATTCACGTGCCGAATCATCAAAGGTGGCATGTAGCTTATTAAGCTCCTCCTGGGCGGCGTTGCGAGCGTCACCACGAATAGCAGCGATCTTCTCGGCAATCTTCTCCAGCTCGCCCTTGGCCTTGGCAACAGGCGCGGAATATTTGCTGGAGTTTTCATCGGCGCTGATAACGGTGACGATATCGTTGAAGGTCTTAACCAGATCCTGGACAACGGCGTCATCGGCATCCTGCAACTGGAGCAATTCAATGGCGCTCGCAGATACAGCAGGTTGTCTGGGCTCATCCAGTGAGACGGAGTTCTTCGCCTCGGGCTCAGACTTCGTTTCCTTAGAGCTGTGCTTCGAGGCCGTGTCTTCCTTAGCCTTCATGACCATGGAGTTCCGATCCTCGGGCTTGGCGGCCGCGGACTTGGTTTGGCTCTCGTGGGCACTTGCGTTCATGTGAGCTGCCTTCTTAGAATCGGCGTCGGTCTTCTCTTCTTCAGTAAGCTTCCAAGACAGACCGCTCTTGCTAGGAATTGTGACGGGCTTTCCCTCTGCTCGGGGTGCAGTCGGGAGGTTTTGGTGTCTCAAGGCATTGGGGAAGCGGCGGTAGAAGTCGCGCTCCTCGAAGTAAAGAACGCATTCTTCACCGTAGGGAATGTACTCGGTGAAGAAATCATGGAAGTTGTCAAACTTCAGGGCCAGGAAGATGCTGCCACCATAGGCAAAGCCGGATGTGAGGATCAGATAAATCAAGAACCGACGGAAACGACCGGATTTGCGAGGAGCAGGTGCCGGAGGTGAGGGAGGAAGCTTAGATTCTGCAAGAAAATTGCATTAGGACACGAAGGGTAGGCGTCAATGGTAATTGATGAAGGAGGGGGTCGTCATACCTTGTTCAGCGGCCTTTAAGATGGTCTCCGGAGGGATACTGGATTCGGAGGAAGGGGAAACTGGTGTCGGACCACCGGTGGTAGGGGGCTTAATATCGGCGAAGAATCGCTGCGCATGATGATTGTGAGTATGAAAAGATAGGAAGCTTGTGGATATAGTGGTCTTTACCTGACCTGCCAGCCGGTTGCTTGCACCGGCTCTGGACAGCCATTGCGACGGGATCCGTTGGCGGATAGGGTTCGACAGCAATTGCCGACCCGGAGCAATCGAGGAGCGCAGCATGACGAGCTACACAATCGCCAAAATGAGTGGCTAAAGGTGATCAGAAAGATGGATGAGTAGGAAAACGGGAATTGGTTGCTCAGTTGCGATCCGCTCCGATAATCCTGCGGGCGGTCAGGGTGGTTTTGCGCGCCATTTCATGCCCACTTCTATATACTACTGTGACATCAGAGATGTATAGCTTTTCATTCAATGCAATAAAAGATCAAATAGAGGTTGACCTAGATATGAGAATATGTCATTCCGGATATTGACTTTTGATTTCGGGGGCTCAGTTGTAAGCACTGAACGAGAAAATATATAGACATGAACAACACGCACATAGATTCGAAAACCAGTTAACAAAACATACATCCTTGTTGACCGTATTCAGCACACCAGGTGAGCAGAATGTAAATGTCTATTTGGGTTGCTTGAACCACTAGTATATTGTAGTTCTTCACTGTACATACAAGTGAGGAAAATGTATTATTTGAGCATAACATACTAAGAATTCTGAGAGAGACAAGGGTAACGGGAATAGCAGGAATTCAGCCCAGAACATAGGACGAAAGGAAGAAGAACAGATGCAGACGCCAGGTGAGAAGAAACAAGGAGTACAGAAGGGACAGCACCGTGAAAGCACCGACAGATCCAGCTGCAGCAAATCTAAAGCCAAATTCCACGTGCATCCAGGGAAGTTAAATCCTTCTGCCAACGGGAAACTTGTGAGGCCTCAGTTGAACAGGCTGGGCAAGGACAAAAGAAGCAAAAAAAATCCGAGAGAGTTAGATTGATCATGAACCGAGAGTCTATCCCTCGGTCCCGTAGCGGGTAGGGAATGTGCCAGAGTCCGATCGGCTGATATTGGCGAAAACATAGAAAGTCACAGAGTTATACCACCGATGAATGATGCTGGATATGTGTAGCCTTCGCCTTCTTTCAAACGGTGGGTGGGGCGAGGGCGCACTAGCTAAGGGAGAATATGGTCGAGTGATTGTTTAGCAATTGCACGCACCGGCACCCTGAGTTCCAGGGGCCTCTGGTCGCAAGTCAACGCCGGGCCGAGGGGTCGCCCGCATGTTCCGAGGGCCAGCCTGATCCAGAGGTAGTTTCTTGGCGATGGCAGTGAATAATTCCTTGACATTTATCGAGGACTTGGCGGAGGTTTCGAAGAAAAGCAGGCCTGCTTCACGTGCGTAGGCCTCGGCGTCAGCCTCTTGGATTGCTCGCTTATCAGGGCTCTCTGTGACCAGATCGAGCTTGTTGCCTGCCAGAGCGATCACAATGTTCTCATTCGCTTGGCGCTGGAGTTCCTTCACCCATGACTTGGCTTTGTCTAGCGACGACTATATGGGAGTTTCAAGAATGTTAGCTTCTATATTGATAATGTAGTGAAATACACGATGTAGGATAGGATCATACAGCTTGAGTGATGTCATAGACAACCACAGCGCAGTTGGCATTCCGATAGTACATCGGAGCCAACGACTTATAACGCTCCTGACCAGCGGTATCCCAGATTTCGAACTTGACTGTGGTGGTATCGTCGAGGGAGATGGTCTGTGTCAGGAAGGCGGCTCCGATCGTCGACTCGCGATAATCATCGAATTGGTCCTGAACCGATTAGCATTCTGGTACTCCATGTATGTTCGGCTCGCCGCGGGAAAAATGTGGCGACTATTAAAGACTCACTTTAACGAATCTGAGGACTAGTGAACTCTGGAAGATAGCAGTCAAGTCAGCGGCTGATAAAGAAGATCGCAAGTATTATCCCAAACCTTTCCGACGGCGGACTCTCCTATAAGTACAGCATGTCAGCCATGGCTCCAAATTTGAGAAAAAAGAAGCAAATAAACACCAGAACATACCAAGAAGGACGAGCTTGAACTGAGCAAATCTTGCGCCCGGGCGGGCTCCTGCTGCTTGCCTGGAAGCCATGATCAGGAGAGGATGGAGGGTCGGGGGAGGGTTGAAGAAGGGTCGGGGAAAGGAAGATCAACCGGTAGAGGAACTGTGATATATGATTCAAGGTCTTAAAACCCGGTGGATAGAGAAAAATGGAAGATCCAAACAGTACAAAGATTTAGAGATTCAAAGACCTCGTAGTTTAAGGCAGACAGGAATAGATGACGGAAGGCCCAGCCACAAGAGCAGCGGGGCGGTGTGGCTGCGTACTGACCAGAGTGGCCCGCTGTGTACCTTGTACCTTCCCTGTTGCTTTTTGGGAAACTTGAAACTTGGAAGTGTTTACTTTTGATGCTTGCGCTTTACATTCTCTTGTAATCCTCATTTCTGAAAGTCTGGTTTCAAATATGGCCTCTGTTCACCCGTTTCGGGATATCAACCTACACGCGTCGCCTTCTCACTATGCCTTTACTTCGCCATCATCACGCCAGGCACCCACTCTGGTAGTTGACCGACCAACTGGTGATTTGCGCTTGAACGATGGACCTCTTCCAGGCGCTAAGCGCATTTCCAGTATTGCTGGAATTCTCGGAATCCTCAAGTTGAAGCTTGGTAATCGCGCTCGCAAATAGAAACTCAGGAGGTTGCGCTGACGTTCACAGATAAGTATATCATTGTTATCACCAAAGCCCAGCCCATGGGAAGGTTGCGCGGCCATATGGTGTACAAAGTTGCCGGAACGGAATTCCTTCCTATGCGAGAACGGCCGCTTCACGACACTGACGAAGATGCCTATCTTGCATTGGTGAAAGACCTACTTCGAAGGGGACCCATGTACTTCTCCTACTCGCTAGATATCACCAATAACTTCCAACGACAATCACAAACTCCCCCTAATATTCCGATGTGGAAGGGCGCAGACGACCGCTTCTTCTGGAACCGCTTTATTCAATCCGATTTGATCGATTTTAGCGTTGGGGCAAACGACACAAGTGGAATCCGCTACGGGCCCCAACCAGGGGTTGACCCCTACATCTTGCCAGTGATGTTTGGCATGATGCGCATTACTCCTGCCCGAGTGAAGTCGACATCGTTCACTTTCGCGCTTATCACCCGGCGATCCAGACACCGAGCGGGAACGAGATACTTCTCTCGCGGAATCGACGAGCAAGGAAATGTTTCAAACTACAATGAGACCGAGCAGATTGTGATCTTGAATGACTCGAATGGTGGACTATCTGGGTTTGGTGGAGGTCAATCAATGACCAGTGGCAAAGCTGGGCAGGACCTTCAAGTATACTCTTTTGTGCAAACTCGAGGCAGTGTCCCCGTGTTTTGGGCCGAAATTAACGATCTCAAATACACACCGAAGCTTCAGGTTCGTGGGGTCGAGACTTCCGTCGAAGCTGCGCGGAAACATTTCGCCGAGCAGATTCGCATCTATGGAGAAAATTACATGGTCAATCTCGTCAACCAAAAGGGCAGGGAGGAAAATGTCAAACGGGCATACGAGGAGCTGGTTCGCACATTAGTCACTTCCACATCTGAAAGCACCGAGGCTGATGAACGCACCCCTGAAAAGATGCATGTTTTGGAACCAGGGTTCAAGCAGAAAGAGATGGACCGCCTGCATTATGTGTACTTTGATTTCCACAACGAGACTAAGGGCCTCAAGTGGCACCGCGCAGAGTTGCTCATGGGTCGTCTGAACGATGGGTTGACCCAGGGTGGTTATTTCCGTGGAGTGGAGAGTCCTGGTGCCCCTGGTGGGCAGTTGGATACTCGTTCTACGCAAACGAGTGTTGTCCGGACAAACTGTATGGATTGTCTGGATCGCACCAATGTAGTGCAGAGCATGCTCGGCCGCTGGGCGGTTACACGGCAGCTTATGGATGCAGGCGTTCTTCGGGCCGGGGAAACTGCCAATGATGACCAGGAGTTTGAGAACCTCTTCCGGAATATCTGGGCAGACAACGCAGATGTGGTCTCCAAGTCTTATTCCGGTACTGGTGCCCTGAAGACTGATTTCACTCGGACTGGCAAACGTACGCGGGCTGGCATGCTGCAAGATCTGAACAATTCCATCACGCGATATGTACGCAACAACTTTATGGATGGCCCTCGACAAGATGGGTTCGACGTATTTTTGGGCACCTATATCCCGTCAGATTCAACGTTTGCCAACATCCAGCTATTCCTTGATCAGCGACCACTAGTCATCCAGTCGATTCCATATGTTCTCGCTGCCAGTGTGTTCATGGTTCTGGTAGCACTTTTCACAAAACGGATGCCTGATGCAACTGTCTGGCCGCTCCGCCTGTTTATGGTCTTCTGGTTGCTGGTGGCCGTCTACTGTTTCCGTTTCGTGCACGGACATGGCATGCTCTACGTAAGTTTATTCCCATCCTTACAAACTTGAAGATTTGTCTCACTGACCCTATTTTTTTGTCTACAGGTCAATTGGCCCAAGCTAAACACGCCGGTCGCTGGCGCCGAGGGCTATCAGGATGCTCTCATCAAAGCGCGCTCCGATCCCATTGTCGGCAAATGGCTTCCTGCCAGACGACACCAGCGTGGTATTAGCAATGCCCGTCTTGTCTTTTTGGAAGAGGGCAAGACTAGGATTGAGTAGATGTTTCACCCATTCCGGCGTTCTTGGGCTATTTTTTCCTACCCTTTGTCCCCATATTCGGTACACTTCATGGCTGTATGTTTTATTACCATTCTTTTCACCACTACAG